TATTTTCATCCTTTTTTCTTTTCTAAATCTTTTTCAAACATCATGCAACCAGCGCTGCTTTTACTCTCCGTTATATGCACGTTGATCCAGTTTAGTCAAATAGAGTGAGGCGAGTAGTCGATGGCTATGAATTTCAGGCCGAGACAAAAAGCGGAAATCTCTGTTAAATGTTTTCGTAATACGATTGAATGAAGTACAAACCAAAGAAAAAGGAGCAACAGTAAGACTAATGGTTCGGCTATTGTATACTGCAATTGGTAATCGATAAATAAGGAGTTTTTCAGGAGGTGTATGGAATAATATTAGCTATATTATGTCGTTATATTTAATGGGTAATCTTGAAACTGTCGGGAAGGGATCAACGACGTGCAGTGTATATCTATGTATGTTATATGTAACATATTAATATTTTGCATGGTGACAATGTCTATGACGTGTCTGTAATCACTCTGGTGCATGCATTGTATATATATAGGTAATACACGTTTCACGTCGATTGCTCGATAAATCCTTATTGGCGAGGACGGACTGTGTCGATACGAATTTTACAGTATACCCATACTACCCAGTTCGTTCCGTAAACGATTTGTGAGGCAGATCGATTTGCCATTCGACGAAGGCAGAAGATTTACAGGGGTCCCTCAGGCTTTCGCTTCCGTTTTGTGTTACGAACGATCGACGTTCCCTGAAAGTTTGGCGGGCGCGACTGATCGTCGAATGTAAATGGATGAAACGGGAATATGTAATATGTGGAATAAACGCAACAACGCCAAGAGGATTGCGAGTAAACGAATTATACCCTGTTTCAAATTTACGGTACAATTTATTTATCTGCTTTACTACTGCAATTCTGAATTGGTCGGCCATTGAATTTTTTTACAAGTGTAACATAGAAAATATTTTTATAAAAAATTTATCAACCAGTAGGTATAGTGGAATTAATGGAATACGATATTGAATTTTTTAAATAAGGAATGAAAAAGGGCTGACTTACCTATATTAAGGGCTGTCCTTAACGGCTAGTGATATTGATAGTTCTCTAGGGTGGAAAAAAAAATTGGGACCAATCTCCACGTCTTCCGGAAACCCTCAACAAGGTTCAAACCTGGTAAGGAGGGTTCGAGTTTCTTGCACAAGCAAGAAGGGCTCTGGGAACGTGAGAAATTTGCTTTCTACGTTTCAACCCCTGCAATACTCGAGATAGTTTCAAAGTCTGACACGCTTCTGGATCAGAGGGGTAGTCCGCAAACAGTCTTAAGAGTCCTGTAAGGTCGCGCACAACGGTCCTATCCGCAGAGAGCTGGCTCTGCTAGGATTGTTTTTCATTAGGTAGCGTATTTCAACCCCTCTGAAAATTACCCCCTGCAACCTCAGCAAGTAAATGAGAAAATTCAATTAGGAGTCTCAGTAGATGCGTACCTTTATTTTTCAGGCAGATATACCAGGACAGCTCAGTCCGCTCCCCTGCGACGCTCCAGTCCTTTAATATTTCCGGTAAGAAACGAAGGGCGAATCTACACGGTGTCCCAATTATGAAGCCTCTTAACAAGTCGCCGTTGTTTCTCGTTAGCTTAGGAAACATCGATATTAGTGTAAATTGCGTCAAAATATTCATCCCCTTCGTAAAATTGTATGCCCTTGGCATCCTAAACCCATAGTACGGAAAACGGATGGTAGCTGGCGGTAGTAATGGATGGTTACGTGGGTTGGAAGATCGAAGCGTAATTAGAGCTTAATACAGGATAGCCGTGTCTCTGTCCGTGGGGTCACGTCGTATACGATAATAGTCGACGTAGCTATCTTCTGCACTTCTCTCTGACCTATGCAAACGTCAGGGTGAATATGTGGCTACAAGAAAATGTTCAGCTGGAAATAGCAATCACTTTGTAATAACGATCCATCTTCCGTACAGACACAACAGATCATCCCCCACTACGGGCTTTATGCATCCTTTAGGATTGGTACAACTTTTTTAAATCAGTAATCCACTTAAAAACTTCTCCTGCTATTTTACCGAATAGCAATAAATCGCATGGAACCCCATTGCCAAAGTGCAGAGTTTAAAGCTGCTTCGACCTTATCCCGGGGACAATCTGACAAAGTGTGATTGGAAAGAAACCACGAATAGTTTCAATACTTGATCCATCGTAACGTGAGAATGGGATATTCGTTAACGGTACAGCGAGAAGCCACAGCTATTGCCCAGTCACCCAAAGCACTCGTGTGACTGCGACCACGTCTGCCGTCATCCATTCTCGTCCCTTATAGAGGCAAAAGTAAGGGTGGCCAGAGAGAGGCACCCTTTCGATTACCAAACTTCGTAGGCAGCCAATTAATTTCCCCACTTCGATTAAACCTGGGCCGAACCCTGTAGCAGCTTTTGCGTCCAATACGTGCAGCAGCGAGGTAAGTAGGCCACCTACCTTACCGACGTATCCATACAAGGACAAAAACCATGAAAGAGCCAAACCACGCGGGATATCTCGCACAGGCCAGAGCAGCGACAAGGGTGGATAATAGTCCAGAGGGTGGAAAAATTTCATTTAACTAAGGGGGCATCCAGGCATTAATTAGACTGACAGCTACTAAACTTTTTTTTTACTCTTCTCGACACAACACACGTTACGCTACCCACCTAGGTGACCCAAGGCATTACATACCTTTACCCTACCTATCCTCTCAACCCCTATCCGCTCGTCACAATTTCCACTCGTCGCGTGCCCCTCTATGTGCACCTACGTATAAATGACGCGTTCCTCCCACATACGTAGGCACGACGGGTAGAGGTAAGTAGACAAGCTACCAGGTAGTCGGCTACGTAGGTTAGATACGTGGCTACGTAATACGTACAAGTACCAGGAGCAAGTGCACATTCCAGCGTGTGCAGATGCAGGAGGCTGAAGTTGAATTTCGCGTATGGAGAGTCTGCATCACGTATGTATGCCCGTTGAGTAATAACGAAGAGGCTCGGCCCACGTAACTTCCATTTTCGCCATGTGTTTACTTCCGGCACGTTTTCGGACACGTATACACACGTTGGTGCACCATGGTATTTTTATACCTTGGTTAAACGTATAACATTTCGCAATATAACTATCGTGCTTATACGTATACCCCGGTGCTTTGTGTTTTTATATATGTTTATATATATATAAATCACGTGTACAACCGCGTGTAAGTGAAGTTCAGTACTTTCGTAAATGGGCAGCGTATGAGTTTTCAGCAGCGAGGTTACGTAACACTGCTCGATGCAATAGATTGCAATCCGCTTGGGAAATACTGTAGCCACATGTGTACGTAAGTACGTACGTGATAGGATCTGGAAATTCCAAAGTTAAAAGTTCCTGAATCTTTCAGTCACTCTTTCTTAACTCCGGTACATTGGTATCCGAGATACAGTAGATCGTTGTCCGTTGTCCGAGATTAGATTATCAGTAGCGTTTCCGGAAGTTTCTCTGGCAAGTTTCTTCTATCGGATTTCGCTCTAACTACCCCTGAGGATATTTCGTCTTACCGTTGATAGATAGCCTGCGAAATTCTCGTACTTATCTTCTCCCTAGGTGGTACCAACAGCCTTTACAGTCGAGACCCAACCATTGGTCAGGCCAGTAGTGTGCCAAAGTGTCGATTGGGCTTCAGGCAGGGGTGGGGGGGGGGCGGATGAAATATAAACGTCGACGACAATTTATAAGAGGGGTGAACGGGCCTTAAAACCAGGGTAGTTTATGAAAAATGTCTAAGGTGAAAGGTGATGTAGTAGGTGTTAAGTGTGGCTGAAGGTAGAAGGAGGTCTCGATTAAACGGTAAGCATCAGTGGCTCGACAGTAAAAAGGTGGCTTTTCTATAAAGAGTCGCTCAAATGGTTTTTTGAGGATAGATCGTAAAAGGGGAGACTCAACCCTAAACGATGAAAACTCACCCCTCCGGTATCTCACCGTCGTTCACCTACATACATAGGTAGACGTCTACAGATATTTTTACAACACTTTCCGCCCATCGGTTTTACCAGCCACTGCAGTCGCCCTCTAACCACCCCCTCTGCCACCCTCCCACATAGATCCCTACGTTTCTCATAATTCTCGCGTTAAACTCCATCACCAAAGCGGCGCCAAGGCTTCGCGCCTTTGCCATATTTATCGAGAGACTCTCTTTCATCCTTGCTCCTTGTTCATCTGCCTTTCGGGCGCAGTGCCCAACAAAGTACAATGGCAACCAAGCCTTCTCGTTACTCCAGCCGGTTCTCGCAACAGTTCGGCATCCCATGTGTTAACCATCACTGAAACTTTCTGTATACACTTGCTGGCTCTCAAGTATCGTTTGCAACTTTTGATCCTAGCGTCGTGTAATCAAATGTTTCTGGACAGTTTTACCAACCCCTTCACCGTAACCACTTCATTATTATCGAGAGTCCTAAAGGCACTTTATGAATTATACAGGTAATTCCATTGTTCCCTGTACATAACATAACCCCTACAGAGCATCGGTACTAACTTGCTTGCGTATATCAACTTAAATTCCAATGGTTTCATAAACGAACCAATTCATTCGCTTATTTTTCACAAGAGTCTCATACGTTGCGTAAGTCGATCCTATATTCCGATCCTTCATTAGTCACTCGCTACGTTTATTTACCGGGTCGTTGGTTTACGTCAGGATTTTCCAGAGGATTTAATTCCGACAGGAATTCCGATAATGAGGAAACCTACCCTCGTCCTTTCCGGATACCACTCCGACCTTTGCCACATGAAATCACTCTGGATAAGTTCACTTTCATATTTGCCTCTCTTCCTCCATTCCCTCGTTTCCATAGCCTCATCTCCCTTGATCTCACTTCACGTACTTTTTCGTTACGCAGTTGAAAAAAATTTTGGGAAAAAAAATTCAAAGTCAAAAATATGTCAATCCCCGCGAAAACGTCGTATAGGTGGGATATAATGGAAATATTTTTTTTTTTTTTATATTGACAGGTTAATAAAATTTGCACGTTTACTTCGTAACAGGTGGATCGAGCGGAGAACGAGGAGGCCCAGGGAGGAGGTCCGGCGCCGACTTCCGGCTACGGAAACGCGGCATCCTGTTCGAGAATGGGCCCAGGGCCCGATTCTGGTAGCAGTGCACCGTCATCTGTACCACATTCTTTGGCGACGTCACGAGATGAAGAGGACGACGACGACGAGGACAGCAGCGGAAGACGTTCTAACGGTCAAGGTGGATCCAGGTGAGTTTAGAAATTGATAATGGAGTTGTATGAATTTATTAAAAACTTTTTTGCTTTGTCTATATCATGGTACAAGTAGACGGTTTGCTTCGTGTGATCATTTGAATTTCGCGCGAGAATCTATAGCCTGGTATTGTTCTCTGTTAAGAGACCCACGGCTACTTGTTATTGTATATCATCTACTTGTATCAGACACTGTACCTACCCTTACCTGCTTGTCAGTTTTATATGTAGATGTCAACATCTAGTATCCCGATTAAATAGATCAATAGGTAAAGGTGGCGCCCGGGTTAATGGATAGCAGCAATAACGCTTAAGTTTTTCAGTGGTATAATCCATTTACTAAATTAATTTATCATACGCGCAATGGCTGCCAAGGATGGATTTCATTTTGCATATTAATACCGTTGATGTAAATTCCGTAAATGGGACGTCTGGTTAAATATTTTAATTCGCGGTGAAAAGAGAGAGAGAAAGTAGGAGAGAGAATATAATAAAAGGGAAAAAATCCTTCGCAAGAAACAGGCAAAAGGACTCAGCCCACTAAATTCGAACCTTCCCCGAGGGTTGTGAATATTTTAGAAAATAATTTTTCAACTAGTAAATTCTTTCGTAAAGTGCTTCGGAGATGCTTTAGGGACGTGCTATAAGTCGCGAATTAAGATAGGGGATGTTTTCCAGCAAGGGTGTATAAGTTAAGAAGTAAAGCGTAAGTGAGCCGAAGAAAATTACTGAGCGTTTACTTGAAGGGTGGGAAAGAGAAATTAAAGAAAAAAGAAACCTCAAGCCTTTGGAGGTAAGGCGAATAGAGAATTAAATTTTACGTTTAATTTCGCGCAGAACTTGCCAATGCAAAGTGTGATCGGCTTATCAAGAGGAGGTATCGTAAATTTCCCAAGAGAGTCAATATAACGGCTGGAAAGCGCAGGGTATTTCTTTTTTATTTTGGTCATCGGTTGATAGCGAGACGCGAGAGGACGGATCGGTTGAGTAGGAGCGATGCGAGTGAGCAGGAAATAGAATTGTGAGTAATGAAGAAAAAAAGAAGATCGAAAAAAAGATAAAGGCAAAGTAAATAAAAAGTACACGGACAAGACCACTCTGATGATTCTGGCTTCAAGTACACTTTTAATGGAGTCTCTGTAGTGGTTTGCAAAGGATCAGAAGCAGAGCAGGTGTTAATCGCTCTGCAAAAATGCAACGAGTGCAGCTTAAAGCACGTTCCGACCACCAAAACCACTGGAGTTTCTCACGGGACACCCCCGGGGACTCTCGCGATTGCCTTATCCCCCATTAAAAGTTCCTACCATGAACCCCGAACGGTTCCGAAAGCTCGTTTAATCCATTCTGAAGTCGTTCTATTTAATTCGATCGTTTTTTCTTTTTTTTTTTCTGAAAAAAAAAACTCAATCAAAATTTCAATTCAATCCTTCCGCGGCTGCTTTTTTCCTCTTACATTGCTAAAAAAACAATTGTTTTTCAAGTACCGTGACATTTAATTTAAAAATGCTCAAAAATAAAGTCTTTGTGTTCTTTCAGTATGTATTTAAGGACCGTACGATCTTCGCTAAATAATAAAGGCGAGCGACAAAGTGCTAATTAGTGACAACGGTGCTTCCGTTTACACCTTTGAGACTGAAGAAATGGCATTGTCGTAGGTACGCTGTCGCGTCCGTTGAAAACTTCGGCGGTGCCTGGATCTGTGAACTGAGCGCGGAGCGTCCACGGGCTTTTATTTGAGAAAATATAATAGAGTACAGAGCGCAGAAAGGAGAGAGAGAGAGAGGAAGGTACTAAGAATTAGAGAAAAATAGAAAGGAGGAGGTCAACAGAATGTTACGAGGGGCGCGGGGGGAGGGAAGGAGAAAACATAAAACAACCGCAGACTTCCAATTACTCGGCAACTTCAATTTTAAACCTTTTCCATCCGGCTTTAGAACCCCGTGCGTTATCTTATCGCTACCTTCGTCCTCTATATTTACCTTCATCCCTTATTTCTTCACAGACCCTCTCTACACTGAAAGCATCCAACAAATCAGTCCCCATATTCATGCTTAACTTCTGTAGCATAGATAGTACAAATATCCGCCGCAAGATGTCTATCCGTGTTCCTATGTAATCAAACGCCACTGTTACGTGTCAACGTTAATATTATAAAACGATAACCAATTCATAGGCAACTCAACCATCCCCCATTATTCATCGTAATCCCGCATGTCCCTGCCTGCGGATAATAAGCTTTTAGCGATAATTGATTGGTGCTTATCCCCTTAGCATTACCATTGTACATACGTGTCAGTGGCTTAAGCACGCTACCAAATGAAATACGACGCCAACACCCAGCAATGCTGGATACACGTCGATGTCAATCAATCAGGCAACTAACACGCGTACAGAGGGACTCGCAAGATAATATTCTGAATCGGTGTTATTGTTACCGATAACACTGAGGGTTTCACCGAGTAATACAAGAAATGTCACTGTCAATAAATCTCGTTTACGGAAAACTCTTGAAAATTCAATGGAATTAGATACGTGAGAATTCCATGGGCGAAATCGAGTTTAAATTCGCACGCAGTGTCATTACGATGGGATTGTATTTTTTACGCGGCTACAACATCCTCGTTGTTGATACCAACCAATGATTCGCTCGATAGACTATCTTATACCTTACTTACGTCTCAGAGTATCAGTTGTACTTCACATATACTTTTACTGCAAATTCACTTCTCGATATTGTCAGCCATAGGGGTCATTGGATTTCTCGTAAAGTGCAAAGAGGAAAGTTTGAATGAAATCTAGACCGATGTGATAAAACACGATGGAAGAGTAAAACACAATGTGTCTTTATCAATGGACACTTCTTTGTTTGTTTATAACGGGAAGGAGATTTGATGAATAAATTTCATTACCTTCGTCCCCAAGTATTATTCGGATTTAATTATTCGTTCGTGCTACTTGAACATAGCGAATTACCCAGAATACATTTGTTGGCTAATAAACGCATTAAGGTTGTAATAAACAATCAAATAACTGTTATTGCCTTTGATTAATCATTAATGAGTTTGACGAGCCTCTCAAAGGACGCACAACCCCTGTAGCGGTGTGTCTGGCTAGTAGTGGTAGTAGATGAAGTAGTAGCAGGTGCCTCGAACGTTACTAGTCAGCCAGTAGTATCGAAGGGTAATAAAGGACGATAAAGAAGGTCTCGTTGCGGTTTGATCATTTCCTAATGGTATACCAAATACAGAAGGTGCTTGTCGCAAGCTTTATTCCTCCATTACAGGCGGCAGTAACGCGAGTGAATTAAAGGGGGAGGATGATACGTAGCCAATTCTGGCTGTGCTTAACTATCCTTCGCTACAGCCGTACCTATTCATTATCCTATACGTCGGTCGCACTCTATTTATCAGTTCCCTGTGGCGGCGCGCAGCGGGAACAGAGATAAAAGGACAAAGAGAGAGATAGAGAGGCGGGGAGGGGAGAGCGAGACAGAGTGACCCGATTCGAGCTGAGGCGAAGACGGATAGTCGAATGAGAAAAGTGGACAGAGACGCGACAGTGTAAAAGGAGTTCCCTTTGAAAAATGACTTGGAAATAAGTTAGAGAGAGAGAGAGAGAGAGAGAGCGTCGGACTCAACCGGGTTTACGTAGGTGACTGAGGTCGAAACCTTGTTAGAGAAATAGACAGATAGAGAGACACGAGATAAGAAAAATACACGTGGAGTGTAAAGGAAATAATAGAGGAAGATAGAATGAGAGAGAGAGAGAGAGAGAGAGAGAGAAAGGTAGTATATAAGGATTGAAATAAGATAGAGTTTTAAAGTGAAGTCTCAATATACTCTTCAGTGATAGAACACAAAGACATTCCGTGAACTAGAGAGGAAGTTGCAGCTATGAGAATTTCACAGGTCGCCAGGAAGGTACCGGATTAGCGCTCCACGGGGCTCCCTCGAAAAATCGTTCAGCAACGGGATCGGGGCCACGACCTCGACCTCGAATTCCTTGGACAGCGCGGGGGAGGCCGCAACAGCGAGGAGACCTCGTAGCACGAGGGGATCCCAAAAGTGGAGTAACGTTCGCGCCGTCATGGCCCTCTATTCCTCCCTACGCAAGATCAAGAGGTACCTCTTCATCAAGTACCCGCACGCTCTTCTTGCCGAGGACGGTACCCTCTGAACTTCCTCGGAAACGCGACCTCCAAATACTTACGTCGACGCTTTGCGAGGACACGCACTGCTCTATGGCGCACGGGTATTCTGGACTGTCTTCTTCTTCTTCTTCTTCTTCTTCTTCTTCTTCTTCTTTCTCCTTTTCTATTTCTTCCTTTGTTATTATTTATAGTTCATCTCATTTTTCCACAATTTTTCTCTTACATACTCATTCTACTGTTCTCTCCACTGGTACAACTACTCCTTGTACCTTCGTCCACTTCGTACTCTACTGTTTGACACTGCGCAATCGTCAAGTCAATAATTTTGTACGATATTTCTTGTCCGTTTTACGTTTCACGTAAATCCACTTACACTCAACTGACTCATAGAAATGGTCGTTTTAATTTTTCTTAATAACCTTTGTTTCCTGCGAATTATTATCACAAATTTCAAAAACTGGTCTCTACGTGGTTATCGCTGATGTATATACAATGGGATGGTCTCTGTCTATATCTGTCTGTCTATCTGCTATGTATACCTGCGCAATATCGTTTCTATACTGTCTCTGTATCTGTCTCTCTGCCTGTCTGTTAATCTAATTAATAACTCATTCAAACTCGCAAATTGAGCTCGCTCCTTATACTTGAGCTCCTTCGTGGAGATTTTAACGTCACAGGATATTACTTTTTGCGACTAGATGGATGATAGATGTTGTCGTAACGACGTTACGGGAGGCTCGAGCTGTCTCAGCGATAGGTCTAATTACACTTTCCATATCTGAGCTATAACGATGCTCGTTTCATACAGAGATGCATCGTACAGCTCGAGGTTTCCGATGATCCCAACGAGTAAATGTACATCCTGATGTGACAATTTGTGTTTCAGGACGAAGAGCAATCAGCGTTGGATGAAGCTGCGCACTACGGTCCAGCTGTCCTCAGCGATATCGACGATTCAGAAGAAGCCGCCGTTGAAGCGCGAGGACTCCTTCTTGAAAAGATTCTCAACGAGGCAGATACCAGAGAGTCAGGAGACCTTGGATACGGGCGAAGGAGACGGAGACGCAGCAGACGACAAGGATCCCGGAGGACGTCGCAGAAGACGTCCACGTCGTCCCCAGAGGCCGCCCAAGACTGTAGTCAATCCTGACGAGAATTTCTATTACTACTGGCTGATGTTGCTCTCGGCGTGCGTCCTTTACAATCTGTGGACTCTAATCGTGCGGCAGAGTCTGCCGGAACTGCAGGAACTGGCCCCGCGGGCCTGGCTGACCTGCGATGGATTCACCGACCTGGTGTTCTTCTTCGACGTCGCCGTACAATTTCGCACCGGGTACCTCGAGCAGGGTCTTATGGTCTACAACAGTAAGAAGCTCGCCGGACATTACCTAAAGTCCAAGTCCTTCATCCTGGATCTGATGGCCCTCCTACCGCTGGACCTTCTTCAGGTAAATCTGGGCAGCAATCCCATGCTCAGATTTCCCCGCTTCCTCAAGGTCTACAGGGTCTATAACTACTACTACATGGTCGAGTCCAGGACCGTCTATCCAAATCTATGGAGGGTACTCAATCTCATTCACATACTTCTAATACTGGCGCATTGGTTTGGCTGTTTCTACTATCTCCTCAGCGAGGCCGAAGGCTTCCAGGGGGACTGGGTGTATCCTTATAGACCCGGGGAGTATGCCACTCTCACCAGGAAGTATCTGGGATCACTCTATTGGTCCACACTGACGCTGACCACTATTGGCGACTTACCGACGCCGGAAACCAACGCCGAGTGAGTGCAATTACGTCGATCCTCTCACGCTCTCAACCATTTTATAATCAAATGGCACACTAGATCCTCTTGCTCATTTTATCATCTCTGGTACAGAGGACAGTACTCATATAGAACCCAAGATACCCTATGAATATCCTTAAAGGGGTTTATCCTACTGACACGGGAGGCAACGGAACTCGCGGATGACGATGACGACGACGATGATGACTATCGAAGAATCCCTGCGACCAAATATAACGTTTCTTATAGTATCCACTAATATATTCCAACTACTGTTTTATGTGTTCGCCGTTGTATTTCTTCATCCGGGCTTCCCGGGACTAACCTCGAATCGAGTCAGCTCGTTGCGCAGGTCGTGCGACCGATAATCGCGTTACCGCCTTGGCGACCGGCTACTCGCCAGTTCCATTGTCTCTTAACTAGTTTTAGAGAATTAGTGCCTTAGGAATTAGACTCGTGAGTCGTGAGTGGAGTGTTGTTGTGTTGGCAGAGTCGTAGCGGGCGGCAATCCCCGGAGCCTCGCCCGTCGTGGCCGACTGTCCCGGCTTCTGCAGTTCAAGCATAACGGAGGGTATCTGTATCGTTCCCAAAAAAAAAAAAAAAAAAAAAAAATAAAAATAAAAAAAAAAAAAAAAAAAAAAAAACACCCTCCCACAATTGCAAACACATTTCTCCCCCTCGATGCGAGAGATAATTTAATGCATACTCGAGAGTCATTCCGGCTTTCGCCGCAGTTTCAGCGAGCCAACGAGATTTCTTGGGAAAAAAAAAAAAAAAAAAAAAAAAAAAAAATTAAAATTAAAAATGAACAAAAAGTGTACGCGCACAGTCTAGTAACACTCACGTCGGAAATCCGGCATATATCGTTATTCTCCTTGTGCACAAAATATTATTTCAAAGAGAAGAGAAACAGAAAAAATGAAATCGACGTGAGTCAAATATTAATCGACGACGGCTCCACTGTTAAAAACCGGTATTCATGGTCGACCAATGAATTTCGGAAGAGAAATACGATTAACATTATATGTATACATATATATATTATCAGTAACGTCAATGGATTTTTAAGCCTATCTTATACTCATGTACCGATAAAGCCCGTTCCGCAGTCATGAAAATAATCGTTACGACCATAACCGATCCATGAAAGATCGACGAATGGCCAGTTGGACTCTAGGAAATTCTCCTGAGCAACAAAAGGATTTACGAGGGCGTCAACTAACGCGTCGTGAGCTGAAAGCGAGAAAGCCGAAGTCAAAGCCGAGAAGAGCCGAAGGAACATGGGCTCGTAAATCGCGTTCGGACGTAGTCACGTTAAAACTCGAACCTTTTACGGTCCCGTACGAAGTTTGATATAACCTGCATCATAAATCGTGGTTATGCTGTGCACTAACGTAACCCCTTGCATCACCTCTCCAACCTATCGTACATACCTAAATACGTGTTATATATTCCTGTATCCACACACCTAACGACTGATTTGAATATTACCGCCGTGATAATCCGCTTCGCAGCTTTCATATAATAACACGGTAAAGTGCCTTACGGATAAACGTTAATGTTAAATACTCTTTGATATATGGTTAACATGAATTTCTTGTTGTTATTGCCTGGCACTGAATTAATCCGCTCCGTAGTTTTCTCGTCGCTTACTATCAGGAGAATAGGAGATTCCTTGTTATTCCTACCGGATCTCAGTGTCAGTTGCAGTGGGAATTCATTATGAGCTCTACTAAGGTCTGCGCGCTCCTTGCGAAACTCACGATAATAATTGGCTGTTACCCTGAACGTAAATCGTTTTACCAATCTGCATTTGACAGACATTGTTGCCAATCGGAAGATGCTTCTGGCGCGATCACGTTTTATTAGGATCGTAAAGGTTTTTATGAACAAAGAAAAAGATACGACAGACACGCATGCTTACACAATACGTACTTGGTATATGGTCAGTAAATAACAATTTGTACATCGATTCGATCAGCTGTTCCATATGGGAATGGGTTTATGTCACGAATCGATCATCGTATAGACTTTCTATACTGTCATTTAAAATATCTAACGTGATAATACGTATTTGAGTAATTTTTCATAAACAGTCTACTAGTCACGTATGTAATTAACGAATTCACAAAATCGTATTGGTAATCGATTAATGCCCGATTCCACGTGTATTATTAAGTAACGGGAGGTTTTGTTATAATTAATACAAATATCGGTCCCGGAATAATTGACAATGTATTTTTATCAGAGTTCATTGACGCTGTTAATGACTGTTCACAACGGAATACAAGGATTGTATGAATTTAGTAGGATAGTGAATTCTACTCTACGCTCTATACTCGAATGCTGCGATCCCTTGTTAATGCAGAATTTCGAGGATCGCTACTTGAGTGGGTAGACAAGGGACTGCGGTACAGGATAACTGCACTGAGTTCCCTTGGATGACTCTTCGTTCGAATAGCCGTGCCGATATTTGAATTGCCAATTTCAGTAGCATCGGTAACGGATAAAACCAAGGAACTGCTATGGGGACGGTGACTCGTCTCTAATTGCGATTTCATTTAAACCATCCCGAGGCTTAACCGAACGGATCCCGCTGTTATCTCGGCAAGGACGAACGATTGAAAAGGGAATCGGTCGGAAGATTATCAAGCCACGGGCGTGGAATAATTAAGCCATCGAGAAAGATTCGCGACGCCGTAGTTTCTGGATAATTAATTTATTCAGTTCACCGATACTCAACTTGAATCGAATGTGTACGCGTGAATGTAGTCTCTATCGGTAGTGTATTATTTACTTGAATTTGATCCCTGACTTTTTACCCAATCGAATTTCATTGATGGAATTTGCGACAAGTTACGAGTCCTGGCGAATTTGCCGATTGACTGAACTGCATTGTTCGAACGGTGAGTGTTATCTGGTACACTTGAGAAAGAAGAGTGGCATATCGGGTAGTGTGGGAAAAGGATCGATAGGAAAGGACGATGTATCCTGCGGATTTTCAGCTCGCGGCACTTTCGCATTAGTCAATTTTTGACGAATCGCAAAGCGAATTTCCGTTGGGCGAGTCGGTCGATTGGTCAGCCGCTTGGCCACCCGAGAGGAAGGTAATAAGAGGTATTGAAAGAGAGAGAGAGAGAGAGAGAGAAAAAGAAGGAGAATCAGAGAATCCGATACCCAACGAAGACTCGATTCGAAGGAAAGCCCGGTAATCCAAGGTCTAAGGTAGTACCTATAGATAGTATATAACCTCTTGGCCGGTATATATGTATACACTTCGATATATTATATATGTAGATATCTAGATCCTTCTAGGAAGGTATATAAATGACGATACATAAAGTATATATTTCCTATATAACAGACAGGAGTGTACGTTCATACGAGGTAACCTATACTTTGAGAATATTCGCGATCTTGAGTGCTATTGGCTTTCGGTCGGGGTCGACTGTGAATACCGGAAACTTAGAAAGACGTAAAATAGCGGAAATGTCGGAGCCAGGCGAATGGTAAGGAAGTGGGAGAGTATGAGAGCGTAAAGAAGTAGCCTTTGCAAGAATGAGGATGAAATGAAGAAGGAAGGAGAGGAAGAGAGAGAATGAGTGAGTGTATGAGAGAGAGAGAGAGAGAGAGAGAGAGAGAGAGAGAGAGAGAGAGAGAGAGAGCGAGAGAGAGAGAGAGAGAGTCTGTGCGAAAATGTGAATATAAATTTTCTTTGGAGGAATATCAAGAAAAGTGGAGAATATACGAACTCGTGTGTCAATCGTACATGAGAATAATCCAAGTAAAAGAGAAAAAAAAAAGGAGAAAGTAAAGAATGAGAAAGAATTGGAAAAAAAGGCTCCGGCGGGGGCCGCTCGTCGAATATTTACTGGGCAGAATCATAGCGACTGATAGGAACTTTCGACGATGATTCCCAGGTACGTCTTCACCATAGTCAGCTACCTCATCGGCGTCTTCATATTCGCTACCATCGTCGGCCAGGTTGGTAACGTCATCACCAACAGAAATGCAAATCGCCTTGAATTCGAGCGACTACTGGATGGCGCCAAGACCTACATGCGACATCATAAAGTTCCGGGTGGTATGAAACGCAGGGTACTCAGGTGGTACGACTACAGCTGGTCCAGAGGGAGGATACAGGGTGGCGGAGATATCAATACCGCTCTGGGATTATTGCCTGATAAACTCAAGACCGAATTAGCACTTCACGTTAACCTCTCGGTTCTGAAGAAAGTCACTATATTCCAGGTATATATATATATGAGTATTAATATTATCCCCAGAAAAATCCCTTAAACATATCATGCTCGTACAGTTTATTTCACAGCCACGGCAAGTTACGAAGGAAATATTATTCCCGTGTGTTTAACGTATCAGTGGGGTAGGTCTTGAGGCGCTGGGAAAAAAAATGTTATATCTATTTAATCGGATCCACTTGACTGATCGTGTCACGACAAAGGGAGAACACGTGCCCGTCTTCACTGGATCGTGCCGAACACAGCCGATCTCTACCGATCTGTGCCGAGGAGTCCGCGAGAAGATAAAGTAGCCGGAGCACGTAGACGCTTTATGCGGTATTCCATTAACAAAAGCGGCCCGTAGAGAATCGAGCTGCGTTGTACAGGCGGTCTGTATGCGGAAGGGCCGGCCGCGGTACAGACTAAAATAAAAGTTATTGATGTGTCAGATGGTGATGTTGCCAGATATAGTTATGGCGTTTATGGTCGCGGGGGCTTGGATGTGGCCGAAATAAAAGCTTCTCGCGAAATCTAATAAACTTTCGCCCACTTTGTTACCTTCTCCAGGGAGTCTTGGTGCATCGATCTTCGAGAGCCTATGTCCGTACCTTTCCCCGGCTTTTTTCCTCGCACGAGTTTTTGCTTTATTTAAATGAAAAATGAGAGAGGGCAAAAGTGCGCCCACACGCTTGAACTTTCTCGTACGAAAAGCTCCACGCCACTCGGACGTGACTTCCCTTTGCGCGAGTTCGTATCGACGCGAGGAAATGTCGACAGCTGCGGTAGCTGCGGAGCTTGCGGTGAGCTTTTAGGTTAGAGTTTACGAAATAGGTCAGAGTCGTTTGGGAATTAATTTAAATTGCTTTGTTACGTATCGGATACTTCACTCTGGTCTGGGCGCGTTTACGTCGTTCGTCATGTTCCTATATTTTGATCGTGTATCTTTCACGGTAAGACTCTTCTTTTGTTATCTATCTTTTTAACATCTTCCATTTTTCTTATTTACCCACGATTTCGATACTCCCACGCTGTACTCTTCCTAATTGTATGCAGGCACTGCGTGTTGGCGCAACTATTTTCAGGCTGATGTCTGCCTTCTCGTTGCTTATTGAAAACCGATAGTTAATTTAGCTCGGGCGTCCTGTTAGTCATTTATTCACGTGGTGTAGAAAATTACTGTACGCTACGCCGCAAAAGCCGGCCACTTTTTTAATCCGTGTTACCTGAACGGAATACAGGAAAACCTTAGAGCCACGTGGCACACAAAGGAAATGCTTGGAATTTGGTCTTTCCATTTTTTTTTTCTCTTTCATTCTACATCGTTTTTCTACTTATATAGGTATACATATATATTTCAGTTTTTATTCTCGTCCCCTTTGTTCTCAGTCAAGAACTTTCCTATAGCTTCGTTTCGGGTGACGCAATGCATTTTTCATTTTATACTGATACTCCACGTGGGAACGTCGTATCTGCCAGTTTCTTTTAAAACAGCAACGAGCACTGTTTGCTGTTCGATAAAAAAACAATGAGAGGACATCAAAAAGCGAAAAATGAATATAAAATTATATATATGAGAAACTACATTTAAGGATGTACCTCTGTGGTCTTTGTAAACCTTGGGTCGCGTTTCTATGTATCAAAGACAATGTTATCGCAAGCTCTGCTATGTACCGTACAAGCATAGAAAGACTCATAGACCTTTAATAGAGAACGCAAAAGCTACTAGTTAAACTTGCTTTCGCAAATAATAATTGAAGCGTTTCCACCAGTTCACCCTCAGCTCTCATTCGTCGTTCCTGTGACCGAACAGAAGAATCCGAAGGCATTAATTAAATTGTCAACGTAATCTCTTGCAGAATGCCCTGTAATTATTCTTCCTGCGCAACCAATAGACGAGTTCCACGTTACAAACCCTCAATGCATTTCGTCTATTAGGATGCTGGTCGTATAGCACTTTTTTGTTATTTTGAACGAATTTTTTAAATTTTCTTAAAAATAAATACATATAAAAAAATACTTTTTTACGCTATGTCCTAATAAACTTTTTGATGAAATTAAACTCCACGCCAGGAATAACGATCCGCCCATCAAAAATATTCTCATGCGTTCATTGTAAATGGGTACCCGTAATTGCTACACTTTGCTGCTTTCAATTACGACTCGAAACCTTTCCGAGTATGGATTCACAATACAACTGCCGTTCTTTGGCTTGATGGCATTTATGATTTAATCTTGAATAAGACTTATCTATTCTATTCGCCGTATCTACCTAGTATTACCTGATTTTAATGGGATCTCCATAGATACATGCATACATAAATCTATCTTGGCGTATGTTATGTAAGATTCACATCCGGGAAATTCAGACTCGAACTGCCGTTACTCAAGTAGCTAATGGAAGTTTCATTGGTATGAAAGTTTAAAGATCACCGAGGCGCGATGTTCCTTTTCTGAGTATAATTCAGTTTGATTGTTTCCCAAGGGAATACTGAAATACCACCTTGCGATGATTTTGCTTGAGAAACGTTATAAGAATAAATTATACAAGAATAATGTACATGTCGTTTTAATATTAAATATACCGGGTGGCATTTTTCAGGAATGCCAGCCAGAGTTTCTACACGATCTCGTCCTGAAGATGAAGGCTTACATCTTCACGCCTGGTGATTCGATATGCCGTAAGGGTGAAGTGGCCCGTGAGATGTTCATTATAGCGGATGGTATCCTGGAAGTGATAAGCGAAACCGGAAGAGTCCTGACGACCATGAAGGCCGGCGACTTCTTTGGGGAAATTGGCATACTCAATCTGGACGGATTGAATAAGTGAGTGTACCAAGTGTGCGGAAAACTAGAAGGATCAATGATTTCCTTGATGACTGTACGGTGCATTCTATTTTGTTTCTTTCTAGACGCACAGCTGACGTACGATCAGTTGGTTATTCAGAACTGTTTAGTCTCTCGCGAGAGGACGTTTTGGCAGCCATGAAGGACTACCCTGAAGCGCAGGAGATACTTCAGAATTTGGGGCGGAAGCGTTTAATGGAAGCACAGAGGGTCGCCAGGGCGTCGCGTCAGCAAACCTCTCCAGGGCATGACTCATCCGACAACAGTACTGGTAAAAGGATAGTGGATAAATTGAAGAGCGACGTGAAGGGCCTGAAGAATGTCTTGAGGAAGAGTAGACGCAATACCAGACCAGAGGAAAGCTTAGAGCTTCAGCCTTTAGCACCTAAAGCGCCGCCGTTACGAAGACAAACAAAGGTGGACGAGACTCAGGAAGCTTCGGCATCAAATGCAGAAGCACCTGTGTCGCCATTGGGCGCAGGACTTCCTCTACTTTCTAGATTGCGACTTTTGAAGGAGAAGCAGGATCGAGAGGAGAAGAAGAATCTGGTGGAGACGTCGAATCAAGTTCCGGAACAGCCGCCACCAGTGCCGGAAGCGCAAAATCCTACCAATCCAAATCTACCTTTGCTACAGAGAATATTGTTACTCAAGGCGAAAAACGAACAGGAAGCACTCGGTGATAAGGAGTCTTTGGCCAAGGAACCGCTGTTACCGAAAAGTGTACCTCAGGATGAGGTTAAAGAGACACAATTGAAGCCGGTTGTGCAACCGAGTCAGAGTGTCGCAGAACCTGGTGTTAAATCTCCCACAACGCCAGCGGATAACGGAAACAGTTCTGGGGTTAAGAAGCCCTGGGCTATGCTGAAGGATGCTTCGCTAACTGCTAAGGATACTTCGCCCCAGAGAAGCCCGCCTGCACGCAGGCTACAGCTTAAACAGAGCCTGGTACACTTAAGGCAACAGACAAAGATGTACGCCTCCGTGGATGATCTTTCGCCAGAATATTGCGGTCTGCCTTTCGTCAAGAAACTTAAAATCCTTAACGAGAGGCAGAAACTCGCTGAACTGGAGATGGCCGTCAGAAGTTCGAGCCTGGATTGCGGTGACAATGCCGAGGCTGAGTTTGATGGAAATCTCACCAGGAGTCACTCGGAAGCCTGCGCCATTGAGTACGCCAGGAAATTAGCAAAATTGAATAAGGTATGGGTATTATTATAGTTATTAAATGTATGTATATGGTTTTAATACTCTACTACTTGTAGGACAGAAAACCACCTACGTCGCCGCAGAACCAACTTTCTCCAGAGAACGAAACTCTGGAAAGGCGAAACCTGAAAAGTATCCTGAAGAAATTGTCAGCTGGCAGCAGAACCGGAAGTTCCGAAACATCTACGACGAGTACACCGGACAGAGAAGCCGCCACGGCTGAATTAAGAAAACTTATGAGAGCACCAACAATAGAAGGCTATGCCGCTCGACATTCAAAACTCTCCAAGAGTGTAACTTTTAATAAGTACACTTTGCAGAGTCCGCCGTCCGAGCAGCCACCCGACAGTAGTCTACCGTCTGATGAGAATCTTGGCCAGAAGCAGGAGCAGATTCCGCTGCCACCGCCCAATAAACTTAATTTCCGTCCTCTGGGTAGTGGAGCTCTTCTGCAAATGATACCACGGCCGCGAGAGGAAGAATACCTTGGAGAACTGGTAACCGGTATCAGGGATGTGATTCAGACTCGATTGGTAAGATATAATGCATGAACGTACGTACAGCTCGAAACTCTGTGATCCTAAACTCTAGAGAAGTGCTATATTACTAATCCATGCCATTGCAGGAAGACATTCAAAGTAAATTTGAACGTCAGTTTACGTCGTTGGAGCTTGAAATTCGCAAGAGAGACGAGATAATTTCACAGCTGCAGGCGAGGATCCAGGAACTGGAACACAGGGAAGTTCCCAGTGGCGGGGACTCCTGCGAAAGTACAGAAGCCGATGGATCCATGGAGGAAGATCTGGCTGAGGATAACGAGGATCATCCTTTTATGAGGGATGGTTCGGTAGACACTGTTCTAACGGCACAAGCTCATCACAGACACGCCTCGGGTTCTATAGAATCCTCGCATAACCGAAGGTCCTGGGAGGAGCACTCCGAGGAGGAAACCTTGGAGCTTCAGGATCTTCCGCGATCCATCACGCCTCAAAGCCTCTGGAAGGATGATGTAGCCATAGATTTAGAATCGAATAGCGAAGGCTCCAAGTCCGAAGATGAGGATGAGGAAGGTGGTGCCGCCTGTAGAACTGAGACTGATGATGAAGACGAAGAGGATGAGGATCAAGATGACGTCGGGCACAATAATTGGGAGGTAGCCATGTTAGCCGAGCAACTTGAGGCCAGGCGAAGAAGTAGCGAAAGTTCTAGTCCAGGTTCCTAGCGCATTAATGAGATTCTAGAATTACTATATTACTACACGAATACAATAAATTCCAGAGAGTGGCGCACTTCTGCGGGAAGGTCGAGTAGTGCAGCTTTCTGCGAAGATGAGTGCCCCTTTATTGACATTACTTTGTTGGATGGCTCTAATGAGACCATGATGTGACTTCAGTATTTTTCTTCCATTACCTGCTGGTTGTTTTTTCCCTGTTTTACTATAGTCTACTCGCGGTACTGTATTCAGTTATGCTATGAGGCATAGAGAATTCCAATAATTGTGTCGCTATCACTTTGATGTCTCTCCTATTTAACTTTACTTTTACGTCCAAATGAATTTCAGCGAAAGTATGAAAAACAACAAAAAAAGAGTATAAAAGATTTTAGAGAGAATTGGAAGAACTTTCATTGAAAATATCGTCTTCTAGCTCAAGTAGCTCTAAAATTTAGATAGTAAACAAATTATTAGCTTTCCATAGTCCCCGTCGAGTCACCGTGCCAAAGAAAGATGTGACACCCTTCTCCATGTGTGTCATTTTATTATATATCTTCTGCCCTCTAATCATCTCTTCCACATCCAATTGCATTTCGAGAAAGCTGCACACAGAGATGTGACAGAATTTAAACTACTTAACGAGACAAGAGTATAAAAGGTACTTTGAAACAAGCAAATACAATTCAACTAAAGTAAATCAACTTAATGAAGCAGATGAAGATGAAGGACGTTGAGGAGGAAAATGAAGATGAATATAAAATTATATTGTGTATACTGACCAGACCAAGCTCAATATTTCTAGAGTCTTTACAAAGAGAAACACACCTATTAAGCGAACGAATGACTATTAAATAAGTGAAGAAAAAAACTACCAACTTGTACATACTAGCCTACAATTTATTTATTTATAAGATCGAGTGAGCGAAAGTGCAGTTAAGTGAACTTTGTGAGTATGTACAAATGTAAACCACAGTATGAGAGATAATTCAGTGAAAATGAAGAATACTTGAGAGAAAGTAGAGAGCATGGAAAATCATGAAAGAAAGAGAAACAGAGAGCTGATGGGAACCAGAGAATATTGGAATGGGAGGAAAACAGAGAGCATTTTAGATGCTGATATGTACTTACTATACGAACAAAAGGAGTATACAATAAAGCAAACACTGTTTTCAAAGTTTGTGTCATATTTACTTAAAACCTGATTTCCAACAAGGTTCTCCTATTTATTTGTCTCATTTGAGTTGTACCGCCATTTTGTTTCACTTGACTACTTAATTGCTTGCAAATGTGCCCACGGTTTTTGTAAATAGAAGATTGATATTTATTAAACTAAAGAAAATTTGGTCAATATACACAACTATGGTACATTATGGCGAAATCGGGAAATTATTAACAAGATATCATTTTTGGTAGTTAACGACGTTTCGACGTTTACGTTTATTACGATATAATACAAGACATGATTACGGAGCACTGTTTAACGTTAAATGCTGCGGAATTATCGTGATTTGTACGATAGGGGTTCTTCTTTACCAAGTCTAGCGTTATTTTGTTTTTAAATGTGACGCTAAGTCTGCTCAGGTGATTCATTTTAATATGGCGAATACTGCGTGCGGATTTACTTTTTGTTCACGAAGTCTTCACCCTTCTGGATATTTTTCTTGAGTTCTGGGATGGCAGCCTGGAGTAGCTTGGCTTCGTAATCGCTGAGCTTACCAAGGCCAAGATTCTTCTCGACGCCATTTTTCTATGGGAGGAGCATCAGTGTAAATATATAGAATTTCGTACTTTAGATGAAAAGGATGAAGTTATAAATAGTAATAAACTTGAATTGCGTTTGACTTACGCCCAGAAGAATGGGTGTGGAGAAATATTTGGCTTCGGTGATGTTAGACCTGACGTAAGCACACTCGATGACATTCTGTTCGCCATTGAGGGCTCTGATCAGTGCAAAACCAAAGCGGGCTCCAGCATAGGCCATCGACAAGGTGGCAGATCCGGTTCCGGCTTTGGCCTTCACAACTTCCGTACCAGCCTCCTGGATCCTCTCAGTGAGTGCCTTTAGTTGGTCATCAGGAAAAGATACTGAGGGTTTGGCTTGTGAAATCAAAGGAATGATGGTGATACCACTGTGTCCTCCGATAACTGGAACGGAGGTTTTTAGAGGGTCCAGCCCCTAGACATTGGTAAGGAAATATATAATTATAAATTGTTTTAATCTTTCTGTAGAGCAAGATTGCTATTTAGAAAGGTTATGATATGATGCATATTCTTCCCGTCTATGACAACATAGCATACTTAATCTAATCAGTAAGTCGTGATCACGTTTTTGTTATCTTGGGTATAGTTATGCAATCTGTCTTACTATGTAATCTTAGAATTTTTTACACAAACTATTCAGTAAATGTTGCTAAAATGCAATCTATGTAGTTTTCAATATGTATATTATATTTATACCTTGGCTTCAGCGACAAAGGTGTTTGCTCTAACAATATCCAAAGTGGTAACACCAAACACTCTGTTTGGATCATAGACACCAGCCTTTTGCAAAACCTCACTGGCAATTGGTACTGTGCTATTGACAGGGTTAGAAATAATAGCAACGAAGGCTTTAGGTGCTACTTCAGCTATAGCAACTGCAAGATCACGCACTATGGAGGCATTTGTGTTAAAGAGGTCATCACGGGTCATTCCTGGCTTTCGTGGGACTCCAGCAGGGATGATAACAATCTAAATTTAGAAACAATATTTTTATGATTGTTGTTCATAGGTGATAGATTTTTTATTTTACCATATCATACCTGAGCACCCTTTAGGGAATCTTTGAGTTGATCGGGTCCTGTGAAACCCTTGACCTTGGCAGGGGTTTCAATGTGGGAAAGATCTGCAGCCACACCAGGAGTATTAACAATATCATACAGAGATAATTCTGTAACCAAAGGTGACTGCTTTAGAAGCAGAGACAATGGTTGGCCAATACCGCCACTGGCACCCATAACAGCGACTTTGGCATTGCGCTTAAAAATAAAATATTCTATAAATAACAGAACTATATATTGTATCATAGAAATTTTTTCATCAAACAACATTCTTCACATATATCGGTAATATTAAACTGTTTGTCCATAGTGTTGTTGCATAACATGTGACTAATAATTACTACAATACTGTAACTAATAGAATTTTTATACAAAAAATTAAATAAATTGAAAACTAATAAATAATTTAGTATTCCTCTTATTACAATTTTTGAAACATTTTTCTCATATTCCAAATTCAAAAATGACCAACTTGACCCACAAGTAGGTGTGTAATAATTTGGCATTATACAATTACAATTTACCTGTGCGCTGGTCGACAGCTGTTTAACACCTTGCTGAGCAACAATAACGGTGGGCTTGAGAAAACGTGGCAACATTTTGTATTAATCTGTCGTGTAACAAGAATGAACTATAAAAAAATGCGAATTTAGCACCACACCGAATGCCCGATAACCCCTGAATGACACCGAATGACCTTCGTCTTTTCCCACTACTCCTCTTCTCAGACAGCTGTGCTCAGTTCAATGACGCACGACATCCACCAGAGCCACCTATGTCTCGGCGCGGTTTTTAAATTAAATAACTTACTCCAATCGACTTCTTAGTATAATTTTGATTGATAACAATCAAATTTTCTTACTTCTTTACGTTCCAAATTTTCAAAAGAATTATCGATCGTAGCTGCGACAACATCATTATGACAAAACTTCAAAGATCATGGTTTTTTCTTTAAACAGTCTTTCGACGCATCAAAGTTCCGCTTTTTTAGTATGTCAAATTCGGATTTAACATAATGATCCAGAACATCTTTATCGAACATAAATCGTGCCAACGCCTGATCGCCAACTCCTGATAGAACTGTAACAAGTCTCGCCATTTCATTAATACTCTTCATTTGATCCTCCATAAATTCTGTGACTATGAAATCGCTGGCGTTTAGATCATTATACTTCTCAGCAACACAATTTACAGATACGAGCTTGTCAGATATATCGATTTCCAATTGAAGAGCTGTCTAAAATCAATAATCATAAATTACTTAAATCAAATGGTAATATTTCTTAAGAAAATATTCATCATGAAACCTTACTTTAAAGGCATTAAGTGGGCATTTCCAATCTTGATCTTCTGGTCCATTTACCGAATACAAATTCACCATACCTCCTCGCATTGTAATGTAATTCAAAAATCGAATAGCGTGCTCGTGTTCCTCGTGATGCATTTGCATAAAAAATGATTCACATCCTGGTAGTGCAACATCAACTCGGCCAAAATACGATGCCTATATGTGTCACTAGGAATCATACATTAATATTTATATAAATTTAATATAAAATATACGAACCATTGACAAGTAGTAATAGAAGGCTTTTAATTCAGCATTAAGTTGTTCATTCAAAATGGATTCCAATTCCGGATGAAAGTGAAAATTGGCTCTGTTTCCCGTTGGCCATTTATCCGGCGTACTTTGGCAACTTGTAGAATTGCAGGAATTTGATTTTCCCGCGCCAGATTGTTTTGAGTCTTTATTGCTCGATAAGTAACGCCTCTTTAATGGGTTTGAAAAAGTCTGACTGCTGTTATTCACAATTTTGTTAATTTTAACAGTTTGATATGCGAATGTAGGAATACACAAGGTGGATAGCAACATGTTTATATGAGAGAAGTGAGCTGTCCAGAAACGGAAGAGGAAGAATAAGGATCATTCAAATGTAGGGTATTATGTGTATGTACGTAATACGTCTTTGGAGGATGTGTATTTACATTATTGACCGATAATTAGTGCGGAAATGGCCATCACTTTGTGCATTGCAGGCCAGTTCGTTCTGCGTATGCGCGGAACTAAGCAACATATTTTCCACTTTCAACGTTATCAGGTTATGTATGTATGTATGTACAGTCATTCAGGTACAAAAGGTCTCTACTGCCCGTTACGTCTTTCGAACCACTGGCTATGAGGAATGCTTTCCATACTGTGTGTTCATACTTAAACCATTTGATAACCTTTTATTTTTACTCACCGATAATACGCGGAGGATAGTGTATGATAATTCGACACGATTTCTTTACTACTGAAAACATTCTGTAATTTTTGCAACATGGTAACAGCTGACTGAATTTTAAAATATCGGGCCATCTCTATTTTTACATTGAATTATTCCAATTATCATCACTCATAAGTTATTGAATTTAATCTTAATTCTAGAGGCTACCAAATGTCACAATTAATTTTGACTGAAGCTAGGAACGATTGACTGTCATTTGTTTTGTAGCGGCTTCATCATACAGGATCGTACGTAGTCCGGGAATTTTGAATTAGGAAAACTTGGAAATTAGGAATTAGGATAACTAGGACATGAAACAACAATTTCCACACAGACACCGTACAATGTCGAGAAGGTCCACACGAAGCTAGTACGTAATGATTTTAACACCGATATTCATTCGCTGGAGACACTTCTTAAAGTGTTCATTTGCTTACAAATTTAAGCTAAAATAATTTCTATAGAGGATATTATCAAAATGAAAGTTATGCTCAGCTTAATTATTATTTATTTTATTTTACTGTTCTCCTTTATCGCAGTAATACATATGACGTGGTGAAATAGGCACATTATATTAATGCTATATATATATATATATATATATAATTATCAAATTGTGATATTAATCCTTTTGAGGTTTTCATTAACGAATGTAATGAAGCTACTGATTTAGGCTCCTAAGATAATTTTAAATTGTATATAGTATAAGAAATAACATGGCCCAAAGTAGAATTCTTATTGCAAGTATTGACCGTAAAGAATGTATTATCATGATAGCTTCTATTATAGTTAACTACATATGAATATACATTTATGTATAAATGAGAATATTAATATTAATTTCGTCAATTTTGTTTTCTTACCAAACATTAGTTTTGTATTGTAGAATCCTTTACGTCTATCCGCGTCAATCACAATATTCGCGAGGTATATTTAATAAAATAATTGTACAATATTTACGTGACATCATTCTAATCTGAATCCTTTAATTGCTTATCAAATACGAAGACACCCAACCCTTCGCCAACTCGTTCCAAATTTGTCACGTGATCAGCTATCTCCTTCATCGAATCGACTTGTTCCTGCAGGAATTCAGTTTCCAAAAAGTCCATTAGGTTCGCATCGTTATGATTCGATGCAATCCCATGCAGATCTAAAAGCGACTGTAATTATAAAATGTCAAAAACAATATTAATTCCAATGCTTTTACAATCTGTTATAATTCTATAATAAAAAAAAAACTTTGGAGGAGCTGGGATTTGAACCCAGGACTTTCCGCATGCGAAGCGGACACTCTACCACTGAGTTACACCCCCAGTTCTAAGAAGTATGATAAATATGAGACTTATTCAGTGATAATAATCGTTTTACATATAAAGTTAATCCAAACGAAAAAATTGTTTATAAAAATTTATGCATAATTATTAGAATGAATGCAAACGTTCACAAAAATGCTAAAAAATGCAAAACAATCAATTCACTCAATAAAATGTCGTACCTGGTTGACCATTTTTTCTAAATTCAAAGCCTCTGTCATGGCCTCCTTGGCTGTGCCCCAGGTTCCTTTCCCAGGATTCTTAATATCCGCCAAATGAATTGTACCGCCTCTCTTATTTTGATACTCTAGGAATTTCATAGCATGATTACGTTCCTCGTCAGACGCCTTTTTAAAATATTCATGGAGTCCAGGTAAAGCAACATCACTGCGATCAAAGTGATACGCCTGTAAAAAAACTCATTAAAATTATTACCAATAATCAAGGTTATTATCAAAAAGTAAAAATATCGAATTACACATATATGATGCAATTATATTTACTTGATTACACACTTGACATTCAATCGATAAAACGCATTAATTAATAACGGAACATATTTCACGCACTAACCATAGATAAATATGTATAACTAGCATATAATTCCAAATTGATCTGCTTATTAATGGCCTCTTCGCACTCACTATCAAAATTTTGCTTGACAAGACTCATTTTGTTATTCCTTAAAAAATTCAACCACACAAACTTCTTCGTACGCCAAGGTCAACACCACCACCACTTCTGTTCTGGTAACAGCTTCTCACCCGTGCTCCCCACCCTGCAAGTCCTGGAAGTGTAGACCTGCGCATCCACACACGGCCTGTAGTTTACATAATAATCACGTGCATCTACATATAAATGCAGAAAGTTCAAGTAATACCTGTTACACATTATACCAGTGTTAAACATACAATGAATACTAAAAAAAGTTATTATTTCTATAATTAATTGTTTGTTCATGATATGAATTTTCTAGTACCAATTTAGTACTTCAACAATTTTGAAATATTGTTCATACGTCACGCAATGGCGCCAGAAACAAACAGCCAATCGGCTGGAGTTTGTACTTCTAAACTTAGCACGTGATGACATCAGATAGAACTGAAAGAGCTTAGTCAGTGTTAACCAATTTACCGTACGACAACTGCATAAATTTATTTTCCCTAGAGAAAATAATGTCTCATGACAGATATCTCATATATACATACAGCATGTTTCAAAAGTACCATAGGCACTGTCATGTTTTGTATGCTAATATGCCGTCCGGTGATGCGTCTGCGCGTAATTATAGATCGATCACGGTCTCGTAGCGTTGCGACGTTCCGTGGAGCACCGTGATGTGAACCCCACTGTATATCAGAGAACAGCATACGATTCACACGGGTTGCATATATCTCTCTCGTTACAACGAATTCCATTGGAGGTCGTTACAGTGCTGTAAAAATGTCAATCTCGCGATAATCAAGGTGACGGGATTAATCGGTCGATTAATCACCAGTATTTCATTGATCTCTTGCAGTTGGTGTTGGAATACAGTGCGACAGGTGGGATAACGTTGAGCTGTCAAATGGCGAGTCTGGCGGGGAGCTCGACAGGCTTCATGAGGCCGCCGACTATGTTAGAGCAACTACTGGAAGAAATAAATTTCCAAAGAACAAAAGAAATGCGACAGCTTCTAAAAGACGGTTAGTAATACTACCGTTGCATTTCTATTAACGTATTTTATTGATTACTTATTGCTTAATTAAGCCGGAGAGGAGAGTTGGTACTAGTTAAAAATCAAGGCTCAGCCCTGTAAACAGATATATATACATTATATATACCTGGTGACATTTATCATATTGACGTATAAAAACAAGACACGGTTGCCACCAATTGAAACGCGAATGTATGATATTTGGAAATTATTGATCGCCGTTTTTAATATTTGTTTTGTGAGGATTATGAAAATTTGATGATGGTAATTTTCCCGGTTGAGTTTTAATAATCAATTTTTATTAAGCGCTCATTCGTTTTAGTTTATTATTAATAATTAAATTAGTGATTCAGATAGAACTCTGTTGAATTCCTTTGTTTAGATAATGTCATTATTGATTTTATGTATTTCGTGTTTGGTATCTCTATATGCACTCTTTCACGAGGTATATATTTTTAAAATTGGTGTAATCGCTACATTATATTGCTGTTTTGTTGAGCGGCGTGTAATATTATTACACTATGGACTGTTTTTATTGATACATGATACAGAACATATAGAAGCTTTGGCACTTGACAAATTTGTAATTTGTACTGGAAACGTGGATTCTGTATTTCAGATTCGGGTTTCGTGATGCTCCAGGGCACGACTTATTGGACGGATCTGTTCGTACGTCACTTCCTTTTCCAGGCTGAGCACACCATTGACGGTGATGACCTCCTTTTCTTCGTGCGCAAAAAGCACGTGAAAACGTCCTCTAGATATTTACCAAAATTTGAGACGGAGGTTGACGTCTTCCGCAAAGACAGCAAAAAACTACCGATTGGCGATCCTGACATCGATTGGGAGGAGACTGTTTATCTTAATCTTGTAGTACATCAATTCGATTATACTCTAACACTGGCAATATGTACCAGGACTAGTCCCAAGGAATTGCAAGTGAGAAATAATTTTTTCAATTTATTTTAAACAGATGACGTTAAAATTTATCTTTTTTCATGATCTTATTATTACTTTTCTCCAGGTCCTCAGAAGACACTCACAAAAAGTCTATGCCAGTCCAAGTCGACGGCGAATGGATGCGAAGGGTGATCTCGAGGAAATGACCTATCCGCACATCTGCTTCATGGTAGACAATTTCGATGAAGTATTCTGTGATATTTTAGTCAGGGATGGGGAGATGGTCTGCGTCGAATTAGTTGCCTCTGATAGAGACGGTGCCGTGCAGGGCGTCATTTTTCTTGGATCCATCAGATACGACGCCTTGAAGAAGGTCTATGATGCTAGGGTAAGACACCAACAAATTTTCATACTTTCATATTTGTTTAATCACTATGTTGCTTAACCCCTGTTTAACAGTCGAGTCTGAGCACAAAAATGGCGCAGCGTATGACATTTGGCTTGTTCTCTGGTGCAGCATCTCAGAGAATTGAATTTGTCAGGATGAAAGGACCCCAGGGTACTAGTAGCAATACTAAATGGTTTACTACAGGAAGTAGGAAATCATTTTCAATTATTTTTATGTGTAGGAAAAGGTCACGCTGAAATGGCCGTTACGAAACCAAAAGGTTCAGGTGCAGAAACGCCGACCTCAGAACCAGGTTACTGCGCCACCGACGCGCTTTGGGACGCTGATTGGGATGACGCTGAGGAACTATTTATGTATCGTCATCAACGAAGATTATCCGATCCCAGTGCCAATTTGAATAATTTTGTTCGCGGTGGATGGCGAACCAAACCCGATAGTGCCGCCACTAAGGCACGATCCGAAAACGAAGGACTGGACTCAATGGCGAATGGCCTCAGTGAAATAGAAGCGGGCGACGTACGAGATGGTAACTATGGTCGGAGGAATCACGGGAGTGAACTTAGTAAATAATAATTAGGAAGTTGTCATTGCTGTGTCGCATTTTGAAAGGAAAGGTAGTAGACAAATCGCCTCCATCATATTATTAAAAAAATGCGACTCGCAGCTCATCGTTTCACCTTTGACATTTTTCTGATCTGGCACTCTTTCGTCTACCTGTACTTACTTAAATTATTGCATGACCGTGTGCGCGTGTGTGCGTTTGTGTATTTGCACAAGTTACTTATATCGTCAGGATATCTCATCTTTGAAAAACAAAAAGATGAAGTCCAAAAAGTCACCTGCATGTTGTGTTGTCTAATGTTCGACTCGGAATCGATTTCATGCATCTTTTTATTTCTATGACTTCATTGCGAATCCAATGACTTCAGTCGCGATGCTAAGATTAACAAATCTGGTTAAGGAGTTTCAGATCAAAATACTCGCAAAATTGGCTCTATAAAGTCGAGAAATCGCTTTTATTCATAAAATGTCAATGGAGGTCTCATTGTCTCAGTACGTTTATTTCTAACGCAGCGTTTACCAAACTGGTATATGTGCATATGATTATAATACATAATCCCTCCTATGGATGTCCCATCAAGGCACGCCAATGTCAATCCTAAAGATAGTTTGGGAAACGTTGCGACTAATCTTGGTTCCTGCTTTGCTGGCTGTTTCCTTTGTAGCGGAAGGACAGGATAGCAGCTGGGGCGGCCGGGGCTCACCAGCAGACTCTCACAGGAACAGCCGCAGTCCTCGGTGTCAACGTAGAAGATCGCCGCAACTTCTGAGCCGTCATGCCAACCGGAAGCAACGTAATACACGGGAGTCAGAAAATGAAAATGAAATTGGGCCAAGGGGCAAGGAGGCCTATCACGAGGCTCGCGGTGAGTGTGCTCGAGGTCATTATCCACTCTGAAGTACATAATGATCATCAGGGTGGATAACTTTCCTGAGGATAGTACGAGCGCACTGACCGTATACAGTACCTAACTACTGATCAGGACTGATGATGAGTTTCGCGATAGGCCCCCAGAATCATCATATCGAGGTTGGCAGTGAGATTCTACCACCGGGCACCTGCCTGACGGATGACAATGTCAGACAAAAACTGGACGCCGGGGCCATTTTGGTACACGGAAAGGAGGAGTTGCCGCTCAATTATGAAGCCGACGAGAATAATGCGAGCACAAATCATCATCAGCATCATCATAGCCATCGTCGTGATCCTCGTCATCGTCATCCCGCTGAGAACGACAGGGACAACGAAGACGCGCACAGGATCGTCCTTGGAAATTCAGAAGGACATCATCTAAGTGTGGAGGATCTTCGTGGACGGATGAGCGACGCGGGAAACGACGCTGCTCTCGGCATCGAGCATGAGGAGTCGCGCAAGAATAAAAACAAAAATGAATCACCAGCTAGAGACAGAAACGCTAATGCCAAGTTACCACGAGGAGCGAATGGCTGCACCACGCAAAGGCAGAGCGCCACTTTACCAAGGAGACGACGCAGACGAGCGCTATCTGGTAGTGTTACTGGCAATCCTCTGCCACCCCACCGTGTCACTCCTGATGGCACAGCGATCTACTATTGGTGCGAGCTCCCGCGCCGCCCCGGCTCTCAGGGTAATTCTCTTCTCGCCATTATTATTCACACTTTTAACTTTTTCAATATTTCACACTTTTTTTTATATATGCATATATACTACAAAACACACAAACACGCACACTGCTGTGTCACGTAATTGTAAGCAGCTAATAATCCAAAGGGTTTCCGGAGTCCATTCCTTCTCCACAAATTATTTTGCTGGTCCAGTGCTTCTCTACGTAGTCGCACCCCTGATCCTCCATAGCTCTGACAGTAATGATACCTGCTCGTAACGTTATTATTATTATTACTGTTATCATTCTTGTTGGTACAACATGGCCTTAGCTTGAACTCTGCGTGTTTCACGTACGTACCTTATATATCGCTTGCAACAAAGTCAGACATATGTATGTTATGCCTACATATGTACTTACACATACGTTATAGCGCTTTGATCAGGAGCAATCCTGAACTTTCAGAAACCAAAAGTAATAGACGTGATAAAAGTTTATTGAAACATCTCTTCGTACACGCTGATTTTATTTGCTATTGGTCGTTCAGCGCCTCGTCAAGGTCTTCGAGGGTCTTAAGGGTTGTTGTTTAAGGGACCTTTCATGATGGGGTTAGGGGCTTCGTGCAAGAAGTTAGGAAGGTGTAGTGACCGGTCTGCTGTCTGTCTGCTGACAGAGTTGGACGACGGGGCTTACAATCCCCTGTGGACGATGCGAGGATTTACGCAAACCTTTCACTTCTGGAAGGAAACCAGGCGAGCACAATCCGTCCCACTCAACGCCTTCCTTACGTACATCACCCTGCCCTGGTGGAGTATAGCTAAAGGTTCGTCGTTTGTTGCATATGTAATTATAATAGTCAAGTTATCGTTGATATACGAATATATGATTTTATGAATTTATTTATTACAGATATACTGGATCATCGAGAGGGTCCGATTTTAACATTCTAGCTGAGGTCTTCTGGATATCCGATTGAACAACCATTTTGAATTTCAGTCGTTCTTTTTTTTTTACTTTGTACAAGACGAAGATCAATTGTTGAATGATTACAATGTATAAATCGCATTAATATATTACATGCCATTTATAATAAGCCTTGCGCTCTTTTTCCTACACAAAACAGAATATCCGAAGGACATCCGAATTACGTCTGCAATATCCTAGTGATGCTCGGTTCAAAGGTGCTATGCATAAGACGTACTGCGAAAGTCATATTCTCCGTTTTGATCTTTACAGCTAACATCTAAAGCATTTTTGCATATGATAATCATCCATCAATATTTATCATCGATAGCATAATTAATAACTTCATATTTAAATAAGGTATCTGTGCTTACGATTGATACAGTTCATTGATCAGCTATGTAATACGGTTCAACTACGCTTACGTATAAACAAGGTAACTCATTCTAAGTACGAACCTTATTGGTCTACAGTTCAAACGAGAACTTTAACCAATCAGGTACTACCTTTCACAGAAGCTACTTTTTCATATCGCGGCAATATTAGCGTCGTTTTGAATTTGAAGCGTGCGTAAGGCGCGGCGTGCCATGCGCATGCGCGTCGCATGGCCGCCATGTCTGTGCAACATTATCACATCGTCAACATTTCTAATAACGCGCTCTTAACTAATAGTGGTCTTGAAAGAAAATATGAGCACAGCGTCTTTTAACAGCGATCTAATCGTTTTTAACTAAAAGATGCTTAATAGCGATAATAAGAGAGAGATATGAGTAAGGGCCTTAGGTCCCTAAGTATTTTAAGGCTTTTTCTATAATAGTGAATTAAGAAAGAGATACGAGTAAGGTTTCTTTCATCTAATGTCTTTTAACGACTAAAAGACGTCTCTTAACGTTAAAAAAGATATATAAATAAGGGCTTAAGCATGCAAGGAAGGAAATGAATATCCTGTGGGTTAAGATTTTCCTCTTGACGATAGTCTCAGTGAAAACCACAAATTACGATTAGAAATGGTCAGCACACTTATATAAGACTGCGCATATTAGCGTTTCCTCTTCGTTTCCAACACTCCTTGATGAACGTGAAACTTGTATAGTTCATTTGTATTGTTCACAATGAAAAGTGCTTTGGTAATCTTGGTTGTTTCAATGAATTTATATAGTATAATCGTGCGGGCTATTTTTGTGGATCCATATTACGACATATTTCGGAGATACCCGAATAGGGACAATTCAGACATTATTACAGGTTAGTAACACCTCTTTCCATAATGCATTGTATGTTATGATCGTGAGAGTCAGGTAGCGTGGAATACTCCATTGGTTTTTTTCTCGATTTTTGACCAAACGTCATGTTATTTTATTTTTCATGTTCTCAATAATTTTCGAACTGTACAAGCTCTCACTCACTCGATTACCAGTAACGCACGTCTTTCTCGGCTCTTGCACGCCCATTCCTTCTAATCATCGTTCTCCCCTGCACAAAGTCGCGATATTGTGAAAGCTCAATCACTAGACTTTCACAATTACCGATTGTTCGTCTCACCTTCTTTACACTTAATATTGTCACTTGCTCTGATACCCGTGGATAATTGATAAATTTGCTATCACCTCTCTGGCTCCCCCTATTTCGACACTCTCTATCTTAACCTAGCAGCCTAAGCGGCCGTGCATCTCCGTAACCGGTGGCTCCCGTTCGTGCATCCAGTTGCGTTTGCTGATTTTACGCGACCTTAAAGATCTGCACCTACGGTTGCGTTTCTCGATTTTATGCGTCTCCAAAAGTCGACAGGATCCGTTAAGCTATCGTCTCTCCTAATAGATTCCGTCAGAGCTCTCGTTTTGACGGAGTTGAGACTGTTCCACATTACTTCCCAGATCACAGCGGCTCGTTAGTCCCCGGTGAAACAAGAATTAGCTGGCGTTCGCCTAGCATGCGGGTGCATGGACAAAGGGTGAACGGTCGAAGGTGACGTGGGTTAGTTCTCGGATGATTGTTATCGGTGTCGAATTAAAAAAATACGTTACAGTACTTATCTATCCATGTTGCCCTATACTTCGTTTGAGCATAATAAACCATCAGCATCATCATCTCTCCCTCTCTTTCCTTTCGTTGCTTTCTCAAATACTCATATATTGTACCTTTGTTTTACAGATTGTAAGAAAGCAAGTATTGAATGGAAAAATAATATGAAAATTGCTGAATGCAATCTTAGAGAGACTCTTGTTAAGATTCCAAATAATGATACAGATGATCATTATGCCCCAGATCATGTCCTGGTTAACAGATGCTCCGGTATCGCTGTATCTCCAAGAGCTTGTGTTCCAAAAAAAGTTCAAAAGAAAAACTTTGTTGTAAAAAAGAGTTCTGAACATTTTAAATTATGTCATAACGTGCAAGTGGAGGAACATACGAAATGCGGGTGAGGATACTTTTGAAATTTAATTATGTGGTATTACTAGACGCAATTTTAATAATTCCAGATTTGGTTGTATCGTTGGAAAAAACGACTGCAATGAAAAACAGGAGTATCGGGAAGATTCATGCGGATGCGTTTGCATAAACGTGGAGGAGATGAATGAATGTAGAAAGAGTAACAATATGATGTGGGATGAGAAAGAGTGCAGCTGCATATGCAATTTGCATGACCCGTGCGGAACCGGTAATAAATGGGTACCCGACATGTGCAAGTATGTAATATATATATTTTTTAATATTTGAATTAACAAAACATTATTTTTACTTATTCTTGCACTTTCCTCTTCAGGTGTGTCAAGATAATGAAATCTGACAATAACTACATTGGATTAGTGACATATTGATTTTAATTATTGCACTATTTGATATGAGCACATTATTATTATTATGTAGAAATATATTTATTATATGTTAAGATAAGGCGAAGACTTACTGAATATTTATTGAGGATATAGTTTGCTGTTATTCTTTCCAGAATAACGTGAGTCATTGAGGGAAATGATGAAATTCATTTCGATGTACTCCGAGGAATTTGTTACAAACATAGCATATGAGTCATCGTATACCTTAATATAGATAATAAGTAACCATAACTTAGCAAAGGACTAATTCGTCAACTAGCAGATTGTATTTCCACGCTATAATCTCCAAAATTATTCCATGTATGATCCCAAAGTGCCGGGTCAGCTCTGGGATCCCAAATAAGGTTACCAGGAGGAACGGCCGTAGCATTCCACCTTAATATTTGCTTTCGCAGTTCTTCGACGATTTGAGGGTTTCTAAAAAGAAAAAAATTTGCAAGAAAACTATTCTTTCCAATCTCTCAGTATTTACTTTTAACGGAACTCACTGTGATGCTACGTTATTCTGTTCACACGGGTCGTCTTCAATATTAAAAAGACATGAGGACACCAGAGGATTACAATTCGACGAAGATCTATTTTGCCAAATGCAATTGACTTGAACTTCTCTTTGAAGTTTTCGAATATTTGTTGATGTAAGATTTAATCCTAAAGCAGTTACAGCACGACCAACTAGACTGCCAATAACTGCACCAATGTTATAGATCCATTCTTCACCGGAAGGCCCATACCAACCATCCCAGGTCCCTTCGTACGTGGTACCTAAAGAAATTTAATTATAAAAAATAGGATTCTTTAACTAGCTCCAATGAAAAAAAAACTGAACCTTGGACGAGTTTCCATTTTCCTACAGTAATGGCTGAATTTCCATATTCATCATCAATATTATGTAGAATGGTATCTCTCGGCGAAGCGGTATCTTCTTCCAACGAGTTCCACAAACTCATGCCATCCATAGTCAAATTCGAGACATCGCCGCCAGCGGCCGTCAACAGTGTAGGCAACCAATCCGTGATGTGAAACATTTGCTTAGCAACTCGTCCAGGTTGGTTGAATTTTGGATACCAAATGAGACCGGCTCCCCTAACCCCACCTAATGAGCAGGTACCGTAACATGTCTAATAAGTTCTTTTTAAATACAATTTAATACTTTTAAAAGTCTACGGGTGGTACGAAAGAGAAGTCGCACAATCTTGAAATTATGAATCCTGATTACTTTTCCACTTTAAAACTAAGGTAGTCATTTTGGCCTTTGTTTTCACATTAGTACTTTAAGTGCTATACAACAAGTCTGCTAATACGGTTGCTCAACTTCCCTGGAAATGCTAATTTTTAAAGAGACCTCAGATACCACAAAGCACAAGTTAAATGCAATTATAATAAATTGCATAATAGCTAATCGTCCACTCGTGACGTGTGGCCTCACCTGACCGATAGGTGTACGTATATTTCTTATGGCAAGAAAAAAAGGCCAACCACTAGGGAATTAAAGTAATTTTTAGATTTTGTATCGCACCTTCCCATAACGTATTTTTGACACCTCTCAAAGGCCAATTAGAAGCGGCATTCAAATTAAATCCTGCCGCTGGACCACCATTGTCGGTCGAAAAAATAATAATACTGTTATTAAGGATTCCTTTTACACGCAAAGCCTCCACGATGTCTCCCACTGATTGGTCGAGCTTGCTCAGTATACCTGTAGAAAATATTCATAAATTCATAGAAACGAATAACAGTATTTGGTGTGATAAAATATTACAATAATTAGTTTTGAAGATAAAATAAAAATTGATACTGTTGTCAGTGATTTTGAACCGTTTAAACGTGCATTATAAAAGCAAAACAATAACAGAAAACTTATTTAAAAATATTAATGATAATGTCTAATACGTATAGATCAATGAATTATTTTAAATTACCAGCGTAACGTCTTCTGTTGTAATTACTGATATCCGTGAACCTAGCGGCCTCTTTATCAGGCACTGGAAGTGGATTATAGGGATTTCCGGAATGGACCGCAGCGTGAGCCACATAAAGAAAAAGTGGTTCGGTAGTGTTATGATTTTTTATCAAAGTCACACTCTCACTTGTGAAAACATCTGTAGAATATTTTCCATGAAGGTCCCAGGCAGGTTGCAAACCGCGTCTCATGTCCATTCCCCAATAGGGCTGAAATATAAAGAATTATGAAACTCTAAAAAAAAGAATCATCGTCGTCGTAAATCATTAGCACTTACGCTTTCCATGGCAGTATGATCATTATAATCATGACGACCTGTCCAAAATCCAACATGACTCTCAAATCCTCTGTATGTCGGGGTATATTCCTTTTTATAAAATCCTAAATGCCATTTTCCCACTATGTGCGTCCTATACCCAAGGTCACGTAAATATTCAGGCAGCAGTTTCTCTTGTAATGGTAATCCTCTCGCTTCGGCGCCTTTTAGTACCTAAAACATCGTATAAATTACTATTTCGTATAATGTCGTATACTTCGTATGTATAAATAGATCTAGTAAAGCATCGAATGTTTAATGTCACAGAGTCCTCGTTTCACCGAAAATATGCGGTTTGATGTAGCGCACGTGTAGTAGAAACTTTTCACGCTGTGCTGGTCGGCCAGACTAAACATCACGCTAGAGAACTAGACAACGAACTGAAGAGTGAAAGAGAACAATTGAAAAAGTACCGAGAAAGAAACTATGGATACATACTATACATTCGTTATTAAAAAGAGAATAGCGGAAATAATTAAATCAATGATTATGAAACTTCCGTGCGAAGTTTTTCGTCGAAAAACTATAGTAAACTTTACGAGAAAATTTTATTCACTCTTACTATGTTTTCTAGTGACGCGAGACTATACTCAAAATAACTCTACGTAACTCAATGCAAAGCCCCAAAAAAATTACTATCTTTCAAAGTGAAATTTCACATACGGTATAATAAAGCCTATTACATCATATACACCAGTCATTGCAGCGTAACATAGTTTTACTGAGTATTGTTAGTTTTAAAATAAAAATATATCTGTCAAGAGCACAATTACTATGTCAACAATAATAATTATTTTTTGCTGGACTACTCAACATTTATTCTAATCAATTCCTTGTCACATTAGTCATTAATAATTGGTAAGATATACCTCAATACAATTTAATTTTTCTTTGCTTAACAGTAAACCAACGACCATCATATATAAAATTATAGCTGAATATTACTGACTCATCAACAATTTCTCAAGATCTGCATTTCGTATAAGCGACTGTAATCTTGACAGTACGAAATCACGTCGTGCAATGCTATACAAGAAAGTGTTCTACAAAAAAAAATTGAACTACGGTCACCGCAAAATTATATTACTTGTCACTTTAGATATTGCAGAACTTACTACATTTACTGTCAATGTTGAAAACTATCGCAAGCGTAATAAATACGACTATATTTCCATGATACGTTTGTTATTATTTCAGAGCTCAATTAATGGCTGCACCGTGATTACGTTTTTGAAAACAGCATTGCTGTGTGTAAATACACGTCAGAAAGAATTTCCTTAGAGCCACTTCAAGTAGGGAGAATATATCGTGCTCTAGTAATTTGCAATTCAACTATTCAGGTTAAACGGTTATAGAATCTGGTTTGAATAGGTTTTAATAAAAGAATTTCGTCCAGTCCAATTTTATGTGCTACTTTTAAAAATTTAACACTACACACTGAGCTAGATTACTTAACTACGTTAACAGTTTGGCCTGAATAGTTATTTACCCGTTTACAGAATAGCTATTATCGCCACCTATTTTTTCGTGCGCAATTGGGTCGTCCCTCGCATAGACACAAGATCACGTGGGCATGAGTTCACCAGCATGGATACAGACAATTATTACTTTAGCGATCTGAATTGGATGTCAATCAGACATCCATCTAATGTCGTTGACATAATGACGCGTGTGCCTTTTTGTGGAAGAAGTGGGTAGAGAATATTTGATGAACTACAAAATGCCAAAAGTTCAGGAATTTTCACAGCAAACATATTTCCATGCCTTTATATGGTCTTTTGTCTGTCAAAACACAGCTGCAGTAAGAAATATTACCCCGTGTTGCATTCCTGTGTGAATTGGATGTTTTCCAGTCATCAATGCACTTCTGGATGGAGTACATATGGGCGTCACATAATAATTGTCCAACAAAATACCAGAAAATGCCAAAGCATCGATATTTGGTGTAGGTATCTGACCAGATCCATGAAAACCAACATCATTCCATCCCTAAGCAAACAAGACTTGATATAATATATGACACTTGAAAAGGTTATTAGAAAAAAGTACTCACCAAGTCATCAGCCAAAATAAAAATTATGTTTGGTCTACTGGCACGCAAATTGCGACACAATAACAAAACACACAGAAGCACCCACACGATGCGTATTTTTGGACATGTTGTCATGAACATCGTTGCGTTATAATTTCACGAAAACACTTTTATTTAATTTCGTAACAATAATCATCGCACGCACGAATATCGTGTCAACCGCCGACCACAGTCAATACCCGAATGACAGTCAGACTAACCAAACCGTCCAGTGACGGCGTCTTCTGCTGCATAACAAGCTGTGAAAAGAATTGTCTATCCCCTCTTAGGAATACTAGCGAATGAACATCTAAGAGATTGTTGACAGTTCCTTAAGTAATAATTTGGCAAACTTCTAATTCAGACTTAAAAATAGTTTTAAATAATTTAATTATTTTTTTCCGTCACGGTGAATCATTATCCTACCGAAACTTTAACCAGATATACAATATATGTGAATATAAATTTTGTCGGTACACGGAAGCAGTATTCGCATGCTCTCTACATTTTAAATTATAGATTTTTAACAACTTGAAAGTATAATGACACAGAGTGAATCCAATAAACTCGCAATGGCAATATGATGGCAAAATAATATTTATAGGAAAGTTTGTTGTTAGGTTTATTCCCATTTGTTCATGACGTTCAATATATCTATACGTACTGATTATATCTGATGTGTATAAGATATGAAATATCTTTAGTGGTTATTTAACTACAAAAACACATTACAACCGCACCTTAAGTGTTCATGAATAATTTTTCTTTTCTATTATTCCTTACTTGCAATAGAAAAAATGGTGGACATAAGTGTGCTTACATATACATATAAGTATTTACTTACATGGCTCAGATTGGCAGCCGTTACTCGAGCAAATAGAGTGCCCAATGGCAATGCTAATAGTGTAGGACATGCTTTTACAAAGTTTTCCAAAAAGAAGTGGATTACTTTGAAATAAATAGTAGCTGATTGTTTCGCGTACTTTACAAACACCTAATGTATCATCAGTGACAATTGTAATTTCACAGAATTCTTATGGCCTAATATTTCTGCTGAGATTCAATTTATCATATTCCATATATCCTTTTTCAAGTATTACAATAAGCTTTGTGGCAGTATACTCGAATTTTAGAAAATAATTTGTAATCATTTAAAAATTCTTAACAGTACTCGGCATTTGTTCGTGTTGTGATCAACTAATACTGCATTAAGAGGAACGTAGAAATATTAAATAAAAATGGAAGGAAAACCTATAAATTTGCTACTGATGATAATACTGACGAGTCATACGAGCTGTAATGCATTGCTAACGACAAAAACGCATTCAGTAAATTCTGCACGTACGCTTGAGATACTCGTAAGTTTCTGAGCCTAAATAAAAACACAGTTTGTATATAGTGTTATCAGTGTCATTTGTACCAGATGGATTTGTTCAAAAACTGCATACCCACATACCAGCCCACTATATGTATAGCATATCATAGAGAAATGGAAAGCGATTTTTTAAGGAAATTAACAAAAATCGCCTGTTTGACTGTAGTCGGATATACAGCGAATCGAGATCCAAATTTGGAGACCAAAGCCATTCTGAAAAACATATCAGAAAAGAAAAACCTGAAGGATATCGAACGAAAGCGGAAAGTCAATGCATTTTTAATAAACGCTAACTCAATAAAAATTCTAGATAAAGTAATGACGAAGCTTCAAAATTCAATTTGGTGGAATTCATTAGGATTATTCATAGCTATGGAAACAAACCCTAAAACCAATGGCTGCACAAAGGCTTCAGATTTCATATGGAGTATGTGGTCCTATGGTGTCTTATCCTCAATTTTTCTGTGCCTCGACGAATTAGATACACCACGTATATATACATTCAATCCCTATGACGATTATGCACCATCTTCTTGGACAAGAGTTCATCGATCGCACTCTCGTAATGGACACCCCTGGACCCTTTACCGGCAAGAGTATACACATGGTAGATACATATATCGTACTTATAGATAACTCGAAGGAACTTCAGCATTTACTAGTGTAGGGTCTAAGGAAATTAAATCCGTAAATTATTTTTTTATTTTTATCTTAGGACGAGACGCGTGCAACGAAGTTGTCTTCGATAAGACGAGAATTCTCCAGGGCTATCCGATCAGGGTCAATGCCTGCCCTCGTGAACCAACCTTGTACATCCACCCCAGTAAAACCGGTCTGGAAAAATTTTCTGGTGAAGATGGCATGATGATCACCTCCATTGCACAGGTGCTAATGGCCACACTCTCGGACATCAGTTATTTTGACGTCAAATGCGAATTGGAGTTCGAAGACGCGAATGCCACTTATCAAGGTATGATGGCAGACCTAGCATTGAAAAAAGTAGATATAGGAATGAATATGAGATACTTGAAATCGTATAAAGGACTATTATCAACGTATCCACATATAACTTCACAATTATGCTTTGCTACTAAACTAAAAGAAAGTGTCAGCTCTTGGATCATAATAGAAGCACTCTTTTCCAACATGGCTCAGAGTGGTATATTTCTTATCTTTACTATATCTATGATTGTCACGAACTATTTTGAGGGTAAAAATATATCTAATGCCTTTATACATAGCATTCGATTGATACTCAACACTCCTGTTAAGAATTTGCCTAAAACGACAGCTGGCAGATTTGTAGGTTATGCTGAATTGCTCGTGCTTCTTGTGATACACACTTTACTCACAGCCAGATTCGTATCCGTATTGACTAACTCGATTAGTACTGATAATATTGATACCTTAGAAGAATTGCAGAGTGCCAATTATCCCGTGCTTGCTTCGCCAAGTTTTAGAGACACGTTGGAAAATTCGAAGTTAATTGACAGGCTCGTCCTCCTCAATAATTCTGACACTTGCACCACGAAGGTGATATATGAAAATATGGAACGGATTTGCGTGGACGATTGCCTTTCTCTGGAAGCAATTGCAGTGCAAAATAAATTGCACATAGGAACTCATAAGCTCGCTAATAATTACGTGAATTATGTGGCAAGGGCGGATTGGCCGTTAATAGATAGAGTCAACGTCATTATACAGAGAACGGTGGAAGCTGGCCTTACAAATTACTGGAGATCTTCAAATATTCCAGTAGTCAGTCAAGAGCACGTATATCTGCTGCAAAATACAATGAACGCTCAAAGCTCAGCAGTGTTATTTAAAAATTTTAAATTTACCTTCCGTCTCTTTGGCATGGGTTTGTGTGTCGCCAGTTTCATATTCATTGCCGAGATTATTGTCAAGTTTTTATTTCACTATTAAAATCCAGAACTTGTCTGTGAAATTCAATATAAAACGATTCTGAAAATACGACACTATTTTACTGTGTTAGGGATGTGAATAATGCAAGTTGTAATGGCAGAATACGAAAATCTAGGTCCTTCGATAGTCGATAAATCGTAAGGATTATCGAATCTGGAATTTTTCACGAAATTCTCGGAGTACCGCTTCTTGTTATCGATAATTTGCTATAATTAACTGTCGTAGAACATTCTAGAGTAAGCAATTTCGTGTGCACCGTTAGTACAGATAATTACAGATAATTATTGTCTTGGCTAAGAAGCATCCACAGCCACTATAGCCTTTATGCAAATTATTAATAAGTGCATGCTGCAATATGCTTCTCAAGTATTTCACACGTTCTGCCGTGCGACGGCGAATTACTGGGGAAGTAACAGTAATAATTTTATTTTTTGTCTTTTAATATAAAGAGTACTTGAGATTGAGCCTATATCGGTGCATTAAATAGATTGTGATAATAAATATTACTCGATCGTGTGTAATAAACGATGTCTTTGATGGCAATTGTGACTTTTATAGTGTAATTTGTAAAAGTTTAGTAAATACGATTCTGCACGTATAAATATAGACGTGGGACAAAAATTCGTTAAATAAAATTATGTCGCAGTATACTTTGATATTTCTGTTCGTTTTATTACACATTATAAGTGGAAGTTTTGGGACTTTTAAAACATCTTGGGAATTCGATAATTCTAGAATACTGGATGAGGTGACGGTAATGTATTTTTAGCAATTAATATTTCACTGTATTTTTAAGATATACTTGAAGCAACCATTTCATCTTCAGATTAATATTTTACGATCCTGTTTCCTCAACAATTTTACAACCATTAACCTTGTCGGGGATGCCATTAAGATTCTGTCTAAGGATCGTGATTTTACGGAATCCAGAACGTTCACTTTGATTGGTGACACCAGACCTAATTATTTAAAGAATTACGCATTAGGTCTCTCGGACAATCGAATATATAAGGAAAAGGGATATATCATTTTTGCACACAAGCTATGGATCTTTGTCGTATGTGGATCCTCGAAACCAATTCTACAGCTACAATTTCAAAGGATCAAGACTTCGATGTGGTGGAATCACGAAGGTCGTTATCTGATATGGGACAGATTTGCAACCGGAAACAGTTGTAGAAATGCATATCCCTTCCTTTGGACAGCATGGAAAGCAAATGTCATAGCCACAGTATTTTTATGCGTTGATCCTATTGAAGGACCAACTTTATATACTTTTAATCCTTACAATGAATATTTTCCAAAACCTTGGAAAGAAGTTGCCAGATACGAGGGACGCAAAGGACACCCTTGGATTTTACTGAAACGCCCGTATCGCAAAGGTACGTCTATATATAGATTTTCATCTACGTATTGTTAGAATAATTAAAGTTTATAGAAAAATTTATTTTAAAGGCAAAAAACTTTGTCGAGATTTAATTTTTGATAAGACCAGGACGCTCGATGGCTACCATGTAAGAGTCGATGCAATGAAATTAATACCTACGATGACGTTTGATGACAATGAAACTGGTTTAGACACTTTAGCCGGTGAGGATGGTATGATAATAAAGGAATTATGGAGGGCACTTAATGGAACCGTAATAATGTCGTACGAACGCGAATTAATGATCAACAGACTTGGATTTATAGATCCAGATGGTACTGGTTACGGAATGCTAGGTGACGTTGCTGTAGGACGTCAAGATATGGGGGGAAATTCACGTTATGCTATGGTCAAATGGAATTACGAATTAACGCAACCCCATGCAATATCAGGATGGTGTATACTTTCAAAACATAGGGGATATTTGACACAAGTAACCAAAATAATATCTTTCTTTAGACCGGAAATTGTAATGGCACTGTTCGCAGTGTGTCTTCTTACTTTTATCAAACTGAATGTGTTCCTTGGCCAAGGATTCTTTCCTGCATTACTGAATATCTTACGAATAATATTAGCAGTGTCTGTACCGCGTTTGCCAAAGTCAAATGCAGCCAAGATATATTTATACTGCGTATCCTTGCTGTTCTTAATCTTCAATGCAATTTTCCAAGGACACATGGCTTCTTTGTTAACCGTACTAATATCAAATTCTAATATAGATAATTTTGAGGATTTGAAAAAGAATAAACTCTCTCTTTTTGGCTTCAGTGGTTTCAAGGAATTTATAGATGATCCAGAAGTTTTAAAACTCTATTTAGGCTCGGGTTCGTTTGGTTGCGTTAATGAGATATTAAAGAATGCTTCTACAGGATGGTTAGGTGATTGTTTGCATCTTACGAATTTTATGCATAAAGGTGGTTCTGATCCTAATAATAAAATTCATATTTCACCTCAAATAAAAACTTTAGCATATTCTTTTGCGGTTCGTTCTGACTGGCCTTTATTTAACAGAATTAACATTGTAATACAGAGATTGCGGGAGGCAGGTTTGATTGAATTATGGCGAAAACAATCTATGGAAAAGGTTTATTTTGAGGTCATGGTGGAGGAAAGTGAAAAAGGTACTGTCAAAGTACTGAACATTAGTGACCTTACCTTCTCTTTCCAAATCTTGTTTATCGGATACATTGTGGCAAGCATTACTTTTATCTTAGAATTGCTAGTGGATTATCGAAAACGACGTAACAAAGTTAGGAGTATTAAAAGAGTCAGTATGAGGGACAGAGTTAGACAATAGGATGATAATATAATTTATCGATAGGCAGCTTTATTAAAGCGAGAGTTATTACAAAACTTCATAGACTTGCTTGTCATAATTATGCAACAAAAGCCAGTAGGCTGAGCATCTAGAACTACATTATAATAATTTGAAATTATGTATTTACATCGAGTGGCTTTAAATCTTCAGCAGCTTCTAGCCAAGGTCTTTATAAGATCTCTAGATCACAATGTCTAATTTCTGGATGATTTTTCTGAAAACATTATTATAACTTACGAACATCATGTAATCATTAAAAACAGCATTGTTTTATCTTACCTTTAACTTTAATTCTATTCTGTCAATCTCACCACCAAGCATATCCACTATATTCTCACCATGTTTCAACAAAAATAATTCAAGCTCATCGATATTTTGCATCTTTTTTACTTCCTAAAGTAGAAAATGTCAATCATTACTATTTATTATTTAAACTAATATTTGTAACAATATCAGAAATTTGTAGTACCTCAAGCATTGCATTGAGATCATGTTTATCCAGGTACGATCTAGTGAGTTCTCTACCGTCAAAGTCTAGTTCAGCCTTGTATCTCACCAAACTGTTGCCCATATCTATTCCTTTAACGTCATGAATCGCACGAACCTACCATAACAAATTTCCAAATGAAGATAACCTTATCAAATTACCCTCAATGAATTTGTTACCATGATATCAGACTCCAGTTCGGCGTTTATCTTATCGAGGCTTTCTTGAGGTATGCTGCGTCCCACTAGTGCAGCTACGTTTGTATAAATTATGAAGGACGCTACTCCACCTAGAAGACCACCAACTAGCAAAGAGCCAATAGCATCGAACATCGGATTCCCCAGATAGGAAGTGAGACCCATGCAAGAAGCGGCGAAGACAACCCCGATTACCTATAAGAACCAAGAAACTTAAAAAATCTCAGCAATGGCCTTCTTGGCGAAACCGGAAACTCACAGCTGCCAGATCTTCCAAAAGAACTACATTGACAGAAGGATCTTGCCCCCCCACGACGTATTCCTTGAAACTCTTATGCTTTTCCTCGGCACCTTTCTTAATTGAATTTATTGCTACTAATAAAGTTGCGCCTTCAGATACTAATGATCCTCCCAGAATGAAGTAAGCCCAATAAAAGGACTCCACTGGGGCCGGAAATAGTATACCATGGATTCCATGATACACGGACAAACCAGTACCCACGCAGAATATTCCGACACCGGATATTAGCGACGACACGTACTTCATGTTTGTATAGCCGTAAGGATGATCCGGATTTGGATTCTAAACAGTGTATAATTGTGCTATGGGATCAGTGTTTTTTATTCGTTTCATTAAGTTGATTATGACTGACCTACCTGAACAGATTTATGAATTCCGTAAGCTAGGATTAACTGATTGCAAGTATCAGCTGCAGAGTGGATACACTCGGAAAACATACTATGCGACCCGGTATGGAGCCAGGCGAAAACTTTAAATAAGAAATTACTAGCGTTTCTGAAAGAGGCACGTTACACGTTGTAACACGTTATTAGAATTTTGTTGTATGGTGCAAAGGTGGCGAACAGATTAACTTACATAATGATTGCCGTTAAGACTACTCTACCAGATCTACCAAACAGTCCCTCCTCGAAATGAGCTTCTGGATTAAAACCCATTTCTCGCCTATAATCGCGTAATCTTCGTTTGACGGTAAATACATCTGCAGAAATGATAGTATTGTCTTGATATTCTGAGTAACACGAGGATATTAAAATAAGAGTTTTGATAATCGTTGAATATGACTTGAGAATACTTACTTTGCTGATAGGTCTTACGTTCTAGTTCTTTTTTTAAAAGTTCCTTGAGTAAAGCTTCGCGCGATCCCCACACTTCTAGGGCCCTGGAAACGGCAGTGCCTTATTTCATTTTGCATCGAGTAAATAACCCAGTGAATATATCAGGATGAATTCTTCCTCCAGGATGGAATAATGTCTCTTACTTAGCTTCTACGTCTTTGCGCCAATATACTGTTATTGGTGGCTCCAGTTCGTATGGGGATCTTCTCTTTGTTTTTGGTAGTGTTTCAAGGTCAGATGGTTTTAATAAAAAGTCAGCCATTGCGCGTACGGGAGTAATGAAATTTCTTTCAAGTGAAGATGCAGACAAATCAACTCGCACTCTTTTTTTGGCTGCAACTATAAAAAGTTACTTTCGATGATATACATTGTTATCTATGTTCCATACATTCTATCTTACGTGATCTACCTTTCTTAAGAGGTTGTTCATCTTTTTTAATCTCTTTAACAGCTTCTTTAGATTTTTCTTTTTGATCTGTTTTCTTATCACTATCATCTTCCAATTTAGTAGACTTAACATCAAGAACTCTCTCCTTTAGGTGCCCCAACTTATCCTCAGTTAATTCGATGACTCGCTGTTGTACTTCACCATCTTTTTTTTTGTTTTTATTCTTCAAGTCTTCACTTTTAGATTGTACATCATCGGAGATAGTCCTTGTAGAGCACCAAGTAGTGTTATCTATGTTCTTGATTATCCATGCCGTGGAAGTGTTGGAGAACATATAGAGCCTATGGTGAACACCACACTTGGGCGTTATTAGGATACTGGCATGTCGCTTAGCTGATTCTATTTGAAATATATAAAACTGCTCCGTGTGATAGCAACTGACGTTGCGTCGTATGAAGTTCAACAAACTGTAGGACCGATGTAACATCTTGGCAGCTAGTTATGCAGCATTCACAAACCCTGTAAGCAAACAACTACATAAAAGTTAAGAATTAAATAAAAATATAATTCTGAGAATCTTCCTCGTAAAAACTTTCTCAATTATTTTAAAGGAATATCTCAAATACGTAACCTCAAAAGGATAGAGTAGTACATCTTTTACAACTCAATGGACACAGTGTATTTCGTAATGCAATCATTGGTAGCCTAAAATGGTTATTAGCGTTTTTCATTTTTTCTTTCTTTAGACTCACCTCTTCTGACAATTTCTTAAGAAAATCAACGTATCATAACTCAACACTTCTGTCGTCAATCGACGACTACAGTATTCATCAGAAAATAGAATTCGAATAGGACGTTCTCGATACACCTGTCAGAAAATTCATCGATACCAACGTTACCAACCATATCATGAATTTAATAAAGGTAATATTACACTGGCAGTATAACATTTTTATCAATATTTTGGACTAACAGGACCGATATTCAAAATATGGTATCCGAGAAAATAGTCCCTTGCTTCCAAAAGATCAAAATTTATGTTTTTAATGCCTAAAAAATTGCTTCTCAAATGCTCCTTATGTTTTCCTAATTGCTCTGCTGATATCATACAATGATTAAAAAATACTCATTGAAGAAGAAAGATATCTTTTTTATTGCTATTCCAAATAACCAAGCAGATTTTCATATGAATTTCTTAATGAATTAATTGCTCTCAATGTACTCTATTTTTAAGCATTTTTAAATACCAAATAAAATTTTATTTTATTTTATTACCCCGATTGCAAACGTAAACGATACGGTTCATTTTCGAGCACATCTATGGTAGGTGCGTTCGAAGATGATCCGAGTAAAACCGCTTGCATGAATAGACCTATAATTTCTCTGTTTATCGAATACTAGATACTTATCCGGAAGCAAGAATTTGCAAACATTCGTCTAGAATCCCGGTAGTGACAATTGATTTCTTAGAGTGCGTTCCACTTATCGCCCGCAACGCTTGCAACATCGTTGTTTCTCTATCCAATACATTTAATATTTAAAGACACAACGATGTTGGGAGCGTTGCGGCCGATAAGTGGAACGCACCTTTACTGTGCACGTCTAAGCTTTTTCATGCTAACAAACTCTGTTCGAATACAGAGATGAGTAGGGAGATGCTCAACGATACGGTTTTAGGCGATATCAAGAAAACGATGCTAAATCTTAGTGATGAGTTCGAGAGTAAGATTTTGAGATCATCGCCTACGTCGATAATACATATCCCGTCGTAGCCGAGGTGAATGTCATAACGAATGTGGAGCTTGACGGGTAGAGGTTCTCCGCCGCTACTTACCGCTAGTTCCCAGAGTAACCCTCTGAACAAGGTCGCTCATCAGATAGATTTTAAGAATAGTTCTGTTACGCAACATTGGTAAATGTCTATTAAAGATAGGGATGGCGATATTAGAACCATAGTTCCGCTAGGAACAATGCTGGAAGCTGGCACCGCACCACTGCATGAGATTCTGGCTTTTGTCATAGTAAATTAGGTCTAAAAATAAACTCTGCGTGCCCTTAGACAACACGGTTGAAGTGAAACTTCTTTTGGAAAATTCAATTAAATTCGTGTTTTGTTTCTATTTAATTGATAATCATTATGTATGTTATATTGTTTAGGTTTCCTCGAAGAAATCAATATTTTTAGTGCTAACAATTTGAGATATTTGATTCATAAATATCATTTTCATCAGTTACATCAAAAATTGTGACATTTAATTCTAAAGTAGAAACAATCGGCTTATGGTATGAGAAATATAAAACATATGTCTTTGAAGTTAAATTTTCAAGATACCGCGAGAGAACTGCATCGATTTTAGTACCATATCGTGTTGTAGGCTCATTGGGATTGTTGTTCATTTGTAATTATAATTTATCATATAGAAATTGGATAAGGGGTTTCTTTTGACGTGAAATTGCGGTTGAAATCTCCAGATAAAACTAATGGCATTGTGTGATAGTTTTCTTCCAATTCATGTGAACCTACTGGACCACATATGGGGGAGTTTTGTGTAAGAATCTGATGATATTTTGGACTGTATTATTGGAAGAAATGTAAACTACAACCATTATAATATTTTTTCCATCTTCCAAAACGCAGTTATAGCACAAATATCTCCAATAGTTCATTGGCCAACGTCAATTTTACTAATATTGTTTAATAAGATATCCATATTAGAAATAACAATATTGGTATTATTGGTTTTGGAATAGATTGCAACTCCTACAGGTCGAACATTATTACGTTTGAATTTGGCAATGCAATCGAAATTCAGGACGTCAAAATTTACATTGTCCCCAGCCCAGGTTTTCGATAAAAGCAAAATATTCCTAACGTTAATAACATCATCTTTTGATATCATTGATCATTTTTTCCTAGTAGTAACAAAGTTATGGATCATATTTCCTACAGTTTGAAGCAAACTAAGAGATAATCGTTGAAATTCTGTTCTCCTATAGGATTTATAATAAATTCTAATACGACGCAAGCATGTGCGCGTGCCCGCTATCGCTTTCCTTTTTTCTACTATTGCTATCTCGCTCTCCCGATTTCGTGCTTTCCGTTCACCTCAGAGTGTTTCATCTTCCGTAACCCCAAGTTTTGGTTTACCCTGTCCGTAAAGCTGTTTCACTTCAAAAATAATTAGGCAATATCTGATGAGCTGCCTCGATTGAAGTGTTGCTTTGGGAACCAGCAGTGAGTAGCGGAGAACCTCTGCCCGCCAAGCTACACATTCGTGATCACGTTCAGCTCGGCTACGACGGGATACGCATTATCGACGGAGGCGATGATCACAAAATCCTACTTCCGGACTTACCGCTACGATTTAGCGCCATACTTTTGGTATCACCTAAAAACCGTAGCGTTGTGCATCTCCCTACTCATTTCTGCTCGCGACAACGGGATACGCATTATCGACGGAGCAGTGAGTAGCGGAGAACCTCTGCCCGCCAAGCTACACATTCGTGATCACGTTCAGCTCGGCTACGACGGGATACGCATTATCGACGGAGGCGATGATCACAAAATCCTACTTCCGGACTTACCGCTACGATTTAGCGCCATACTTTTGGTATCACCTAAAAACCGTAGCGTTGTGCATCTCCCTACTCATTTCTGCTCGCGACAATCTCAGAGAATTTTCCTAACTTGATGGACACTGATGGGACAGCCGCTATGTAGTGTCCTCGACTCTGCTATACTTTTTCGCGATAACACTTCACACCAGCATTCACTTACATAATACATGAAAATTACAAGTTACAAGAATTTGTGATTAGATACGTTAATTCGTTTTCTTCGTTCTTACTTTTTCCTTTTTCCATCGCTTCCTGCAGTGCGATGTCTTTCTAAATTTGTTACGTCTAACGAGATAATGAAATTATTAGCAATACGTTACTCCAAGCAAACTCCCATGACCCACAATTCTGCTTCGGTTACTATCGGGTACTTTATCTTCGAACTCGTAGAAATGTGTATTACGCTCTGAGCGCGAGAAAGGGTTGATAACTACTGCCATTAGGTGTTAATGAGCTGTATCGTTAAAAAATATTACGAGACCATTGTTCTGTTAGCACGGATGTGAGAGTAAATGTCTTGTATTATTTTTTTTTAAGACTTGAAGTCTAGAGACTTAAGTTAAACGCAACTTGAAATAAATTAAATGTATATCCACAGCTTACTTATATGTATATATATAGATATACAACATATGTACTTCATCTCTCTAACTTGACACCGATGGAAGCATAGTCACTGCTTATGCTGTTACCCTATTTGACATGCTTTATCTCAGAAATATGTCTCTCTTGCATTTTTAATATATTGTACCTGGTATGAGAGCGAAAAAAAAACAGTGATACGGGGGTTTACATGCGTATGAGAAAGATAGACATATTGGTGATTCGAATACAAATCATATCTTCGAGCGAATCGACTATTAAGGATATACGATTTAAGATCGTAATTTTCCAAAATTGTCAGACTACATTTATCATTGTTTCACGTAAGAAGTTAATTACATTTAAAATATTCAATAATTGAACAGGTATTCACAACTAATATAATGTATATGATATAATATGACAGCAGTCATGATACAAAATAAAATTTGCAGTCTCTCTACTCCAAGTGCATAATACATGTATTATACCTGAAACGTCTGTATTGGCATTTTCATAATGACTGCATGAATTCCTGAAATCATGAAGTCTTCCTCCAGTACTTACCAGGTATGACAAATACTTAGAAGAAGAGGAAGAAGTTTCTGTATTTTTGCACTTTTTCGCAATAAAGGTATATATGCAAATTTATTCATAATAGCCTATTGATTTCCTAACAACTTCCGCTTCTTCCCCGAACGCCGCGCATCGCTATTCAAAGAAACCAAAAATAATAAAAACCCAGTAACAATAATATTTTCTAACAAATTATTTCATTTGCTCGTTGCATATTTCATGAGTTTATACAGAATTATTCTTATTGTCACATAAATCACATGGACATTCGGTGGAAGACTCGTTACGAAGACTCTTCCATAAACAATCCCATAATTTGTCCTCTGGAAATCCACTTATGAAACGTAATTGGAATTTCCAAGGAGTACAACACTTCTTTTTACAAGATGTCACTGATGGATTAGCGCCCAAGTACCACTATACGATATTGTGAAAAGAAGAATAATATGCGTCAGCATAAAAATCACGAACTCCTACTTTCATAGAAATAAACGTGACGTAGCTGGGAAATAAAAACTTTCCAGTTATCCCAATTTGTATCTCTACTCATCACTCAATGTGTAGGTAATATATATTTTAATTTACATGTCAACGTATTTTGCATCTTCAAAAAGCCAGAGAATTTCCCGTTGAGCTTTGTAGCATTGTCGCGTAAGAAAAAGAACAATACGAAACATATAAATAAATATATATATATATGTACACATATATCTATAGGACCAAACGTCACTGGCCAGTATAAAGAAATACGATACCGTGACCACGTATGATTCTTTTATACTACCATGATATCCACACACATTACCGACCTGCCAGGTAGTTATTATGTAGTCGATATGGCTCGGGGGCAATTAGTACTATTGTTATGATACGAAAAGGTATGCTACGTGTGTACTACTCCATTATGCCTCAGTAGTCCACCAGTGAAAGAGGTAAGATACAGCAAGGTCTGTGCTGGTCGCTGTTCCACCTCCAACATTCCTTTTCCTCCTACTACACGACGTTTCTTAACAGTTCCTCCACCGCACTTGTGACTCGATAATCTGTTTATTGACAATTCTCAATCATCGTACCCGCGAATCATATGCTATTTCGAATCCTCCCAGTTACCTCTTCTTTAAGCATTGCGATGTTAGTTAGGACTTGGAGACACAGGCAAGATAACGTTTGCATGAGGTATACTAAATATAATTTTTAGTGCTGTCATTAAACTAACATTAACGAGAATCGCGCGAGGACTTGACTTCATTTTGATTATCTGTAACATTTATTAAGTGTGGAGAGTGAAGATTGTGAGTGTCATTAAATAAATCCAGGTCGAACCTATGCAACCATGTCCAGTGATAATTTACAATCTATACAGTGCGAGGAGACAAGCAAGACGAAGACGGTGCAGACGTCTAGTCGCAGTGAAAAGGAAAATAATGGGATCGAGGAAAGTATACAGAAATTCGGTAATGTTCTTAATCAAGCAAGTTCCAAGGAGGTACCTGGAAAGTCGAGTAAGTCTACACAGATCGACTTCGCGCACTCCACGTGGAGGCTGAACACTCCGCGGATACGGCCATCATCCTCTGGACATATACCAAAATTAGGTCAATACAATGACATGAACTGCAACAAAGACTATCCCATGCAGAAGCATAATCTTTACTCTACGCAAAGTGAAATTACACTGTCAGCCAGAAATCGACAGCAGAGTAGATACGTCGCCCTGGATATGATGCGGCAGGTTCCTACACCACCTTATAGCCCTTATTCAGGTAGTCATTTCTCTGGAAATAACTCCACCTGTGCATGCTGCTGCGGTTGTCCCGGTTTCCAAGCGTCACAGTCACTTCAGAGTCAGCATCCCGAGGATCAGGATGGTCCTGAGGGACTCTCTTGGAGGAGGCTTCACATGAGTCGTGCCAAACTCAAAGCTACCGCAACGACTTCAGAATTACTCAGTGGTTTTGCGATGGTGAGTAATCCTAGAAGCGTTTCTGTCTACATAACAACAGCCTGAGGCCTGAAACTTTAACGGTGTATGATAGCATTGTTAATTGTGCGATTTTCAGAAAAGTGATAGCTTAATACAGATAGATTTCTGTGTAATGTAAATGTAAAAAGTATACAAGCAATTCACATTGACGATTGTAAATATAGTTTGCATGTAAGGATTTCATGTTTCACGAGTCCCAGCTAAATCGGATACTGGAAACGTATCCATGTTTATCCAATGTGTTTACGCTGACTCGTTCGACACGAGCTATAATTCAAGCACATTGTGTGCTCTTTGACGCGTTCGTGGTTATCACTTCGACATGTCTGATGCTATCTGATATTGCGAGATGAGCACGAAGAGCCAGAGATTCTGTTGGTACTTCCTGAAAGTAATTAAATTCATGAAAAATGATGCAATTCTTATTTCACAAGAAATGAAGATACGTATACATGAATATTAATATTGAGCTTGAACAAATCATTAATGAAAATCATAAAATCGATATTGAGCACCAGTGAGCGAAAGTGTGCAAATAAAATTTTCAAATACAAGAGATTAGATATAAAGTGATACGCGGTGCCATTATATAATTATTTTAATTTCAAACTATCTATATCACTCACGAAAATATTCTTGCGGATGGAACAGTGTGTATATCGAATTAATTTAATTTCAGGTAGCAATGGTAGAGTTGCAGATAAACGAACCTACAGCAGTACCAGAATGGCTATTTGTGATGTTCGCCGTGTGCACGACAGTCCTGGTCTCCGTTCACATCTTTGCCCTGATGATAAGCACGTATCTTCTGCCTAACGTGGAGGCAATCAGTAAGCTTCAGGTTGCTCGCCTAGTGACAGAATCGCCGCACGAGAGAATGCGAGGTTTCATCGAGCTGGCCTGGGCATTTTCAACGGTTCTAGGACTCTTCCTGTTCCTGGTGGAAGTGGCGATACTCTGCTGGGTCAAATTTTGGGATTACTCCTTCACAGCAGCCATAGCCAGTACGATAATAGTAATTCCAGTCCTCGTAGTTTTCGTGGCATTCGCTGTGCACTTCTATCACTCACTGGTAGTCTACAAGTGCGAGGCCTCGGTCACCGACATGAAAGAATTAGAAAACATTAAGAGGAACCTAGACAACGTGACCGTTGGTCAGAGTACCGTATGATTCAAATAATAGGTATACCCTGGACGCCCATCCTCTTAGATCCATTGGATTGTATCCTCACGGTCGGTATTCCTAGTAGTGACCATGTACAATCCTGTATAAAAATCCTGGTGAAATTCACTCCAGAAATAGGAGTCTAGTACACGTACACTAGCGAATATTTACAGAGGCTTCCAAGTAAAAGGTCAAGTGAAAGTTTATTGTCGGACTTATTCGACTAACTGTGCATATCTCACTAAACGTGAAGGCAACTCTTCCAGAATAAGCCAGCCAAGTACAAAGCTCTTGAAACATAAACATAGCCGAGCGTTATTTGTCACTGTTATATTACCCACTTCGTACGTGGTGGATGTTCCCTTTCGAAATCTATTCGAAATTCAAGACTGCTTTGTTGTTCGTTGCGCATTGCTCGCGTCTACTCCGTTTCGTAAGGCTGTCACGAAGATATTTGCGCCAAGAAGCAATACAGACTACTTTTACGAACATAATATTACCATTTCGAATTACTCACGGAATTCCGTGAGTACGCGTAGTTCCTCTACTTTATAAAATAATTATTTAAGGATTAACGATAATACAACGACGAAGCCTACATAGAGTTTCGAACAATCACCTCAGTGCAATATATCAAATGTATAATGGCCAGTATATTAGTAAACTTCTATATATGTATATATTAGTAGGAACAAATAATGCTATCGGATTCGTACGAAAAATTCATAATTTTTTCAACACGACCATAGGAACACGGGCATGTTTTATTATTATATTTAAAAAATGTACATGGCTGTACACATGCAAGTTCAGAGTTTGCAGCAGTACAAGCGAGTGCTCTTAGAATAATAATGATAACTGACGATAAAGGTAATAATAATAATAATCGACGATAATAATAATAATAATTCAATAATGATAATACCAATAACGTTACACGATAATCAATTGTATTCCGTTAAGATTTAATTTTCAATTTTTATTTAAACGTTTCTCTCCTCTTCATTTCATCTATCATAAGTCGTAATTCTAATGTAATAGACTCTTTAAGTCAGCTCCATTCCGCGCTTAGCTTATGGATGGGAGAAGAGTCGAGAGAAAGAGAGACTTAGTCGAGAGATCACAGACAGAATGTAACTAAGGAAGATTACTTCAATGAGATTCTTATTATCGTTAATGATCGTGAAATTGAACTACGTTGCTCCGTTATATCCGGGAGCGTTCGTCTTAACAATGAATCCGTCTATTTGTCTTGGCAAGACGTAGAGATTTTAAAAATATTTCAGACTCACAAAACACTCTCGCTCTCCCTCTCCATAAACTAAGCCCGTAGTCTTATTAGGTTGACAAATAATCTCTACAGTATTATGCTGTCGTCTCCGTAGAAAAGAATTACCGCCGCAAGACGATACGAATAACATAAACGAGCGAACGGAAATACGAAGTAACACTAGTACTATACAGTAGAAGCGTGCCACGGCTCTATTTTCTTTTCTTTGATTTCTTAATGATTTTCTTCACCTTACTTCATATGTGCTACGGATACGGAGAGACGTGGCGACGACTTATTATTATTGCACAACGCCGCGCATTAAAATGAATATAATAATAAACAAAAAATTTCTTCCAAACTTCAAGTTAGATAATCATAGAGTAAGGTGTGAGGTCTCAAGTCGGATTAAACGTTTATGTTTGTCTTAAACTGTTTTTGTTCATGGAAATTCGTCGCTCGCACGATTCCATTTTGGAAGTCCAGCTTCGGTGAAAAGTATAATAATATTGGTTCGGTTAGTGTATATCGGGACACTAAAAAAGATGGCGCGAAGATGAGAAGAAGAATAAAAGATAGAATTATAAATATCAGTAATAATCACTGTAACATGAACGTTCGCACCATGTGACTGTGTTTTGCGTTTTCATCTTGTATTTATATCTTATAATATATGTATATTTATTCTTTCATTTTGTTCTATCGTTTCTCGTTATCGGTTCAGAAGACAAGTCCTTCGAACTTAACCCCAGTGTAGAACGGTGGACACTCAAGACGGAGTGTCTTTAAAAGAGTTGCTAGGTAGTGGTCTTGAGACTTTCGAATTTTTTAATATAAAAAGAAAGTTCGAGTCTTCTGAATTCTCTGTCCTGGCAAAAATGCCCACGGAAAATATACAGGGTGATTTTTGTTTAAAATATCAATTCGTGAGCTGTACGCTTGCGTGGTATGTTTTTACCAATTTAAAAAAAAATATGATTGAGTGTAGGAGTTGAAAGAGTATAAAAAATTGATAACGCTTACAAACGTATATTATGAATGTATAAGATAACCAGCTGATACGAACAAATTGCTTGTGCTATGGACGGGTAGGACGAGCAGTGACACAGGGGAAGAATTTCGTACTCTCCTTCTTCTCCATTAGTTATTTGCATTACTGTTCCCGTCGTCTCATCTCTTGAAGCAGCTCAATGAATAACTGATGGATTTCCGTTCTCCATTTGTCTTTGACCTTCTGAGAAACAGCCAGTAGATCACCCTTGTCTAGTCTTCGGATCATTAATATAGTGAAGCAATTCAAGTAATATCCATGTATTTGCGTGATAGAAATAGTCCAATTAAATGCACGCTACAGTCATCCCAGAAGGAAATCTACGGATAATGTCATTTTGCAAAATTAAAGATAAGAGTACGATGATAATCAGGGAATTGTATTCGTGATCAAGATCAACGGTCACAGTTTGATCCAGGGTTGCGAGGATGGGCGGAAAAAGTAGAAGAAATAAAAACGATATTCAATTTTGGGCAATATTCAGTCTTTGTGAGATTAAATAAATGTCTTCGAGTCTTCAATTATATAGAGTGTACAATTATCATTCGACCATCGGCCAGTTGATTAAATCAATTGTTAATTTAATGACATCGAGTTTTATGAAAAACGCGATGCACACCCTAGACCATCCATAGCAGGAGCTTCTTTGAAAAGCCTCAACTTTTAATAGTGTCAAATATAGAGAGTGTCAGAGAATATAGTCTCGATTTTCCTTTTGTCTTGATAATTCTTCAAGGTCGACGCGTAGATATTCAGTTCGCTATTGATGAAGGATCGATATCTGGCGACGGTCCTACGTTTCACAGTTTCATTATAAATACGTCTTTCCTTATTTTCGTTTTCATTCTCATCGTATTACGTTATTCTATCGAGCTCGTAATTCTCGTGAGCCAAGTCCACAAGTAAACGCAACGCGTTATTTGTCATTTTAAACCAAGAGCGAACTGCAAATTCGTGCTTTCATGCTTATACAAAATTATAGGTAATGTATGTATGTACATAAGAGTTTTGCTTTGTACGAAACAAAAGCAATTTTAAAATAAATTCACAACCTACACACACATTATGTTCACTGGATTCTCATGTATGAACTTCATCATGAACAACTCCTCCATTATTCTAATAATCATAGCTACGTGTTACGTACAATTCAGATGATATCTGTCGTTAATAAATAAAAAAAAATAGTAGTAGAAAGAATTGAGGGAAAAGAGAATCAAACATTTGTATAATGTTTTTTTGCCTTTTTTCTTTCCCTTTACTAATAGCTAACGATAAATTCAGAGTGGAGCATGGAAAGATATGCGAGTCTCTATTGACCATAGCGCAATGTCTTTTATTTCTCATCTCTTTTTTTTAAATAATATATCATTACAATCGTTTCATTTCTTTCTTTAAATAATATCTCACAATATCTCTTTACTGAGCTGTCGCGTATCTTGCCCGTTCCAGCCTTACGGACATTACTCCACTCTATTTCATGTTCTCCCTCGTTATGAAGCTACGTAAAATTAATTTAATTAGACTATGTAATGTACCTATAGTTATATGTACTCCCTTCGCATCGATTCTCTGGTATGTGAATTACTTTCTTAACACCTCGATGATGACTGATTCAAGAAAAAGAGAGAGAAAGAAAAAAGTTCATAAGTAATAGAAAAAGAATAAATTACGTTCCATTAACGAGAATAGATGTGTAAAAAAATATAAGAAAGGAAAACAAGTAAGAGATCCAATGCAATGATGAAGAATAGGGAAGAATGTTAACAAATTAAATGGGTAAAAACAAAAAAGGGTGAAAGGAAAAACAAAAGAAAGGAGGCGAGTCGTAATTACTTACAGAAAATGATACCGGCGAAAACTAGGACAAATCAAGTTGTCGACTGACTCATAGTGGTGAATTGTCGCGCGTTCATCCAAAAGATATTGCGACGTAATGTTATTTGTGACAGCTGTCAAACTTCCATGTGTTTTGAAGGTTGCTGAGATATGAATGGTTCGCTCCACATACGTCGCAGGTCTCCCTGCGAGAAAAATACGAAAGAAATAATAAGTAACCGGCAACAATGTGTACGATCTATGAAGTCATGGTGAGTTTACCTTTAAATACGCCATAGTGAGTAATGGCAAGAGCGTGAAGGGTACGAGATACAGCAAGGCAGGTTGTGCAGCTTTGAAAACCTCCGAGCTCACAGTCGCTGTGAGTAAGCCGAGAAAGTAGCCAATCAGAGAGCAATGGAAGTAGCTGATACGACTAAGATGTCGTGGCGGTGGGACACCAGTCTCGCAGCCACCGGGTATGAGCTGACTCTTCTTGTACGCATCGTAGCGTAGCACGAAGCAGAGTAACAGACCAGGCATGACGATGTCACCGAGGCCAAGCATTGAAAAGTGTCCTGCATGATGCATGGATGGGAATACCAGCTTACCAGGTAAAGATAGCTTGGGTGCTTCCCGGGCTACTCCGCCTAAGTGCAATCTACGAGCTACGAGATTTACTGGATTGTCAGCAGGTCGCGTCGCCACCTATTCAGAAATATATTTTGTTGGAATAATAGAGGATGTGCAACAGTGGCTAGGAGTCGAGGATATTATACGCACCTTGACCATAACGTTTGTGCTGAATATATATGACGAAAAAAAAACCCAGAAGACATCGTAAATGAGTAGTCCAGTGAGTAGTAAAGTAGATACCTTTAGACTAGGTAGACGTACGAATGCTATAAACGCAACGCAGAGGCCCATACCCATGGCATCCATGAGTAACCAATGCCCAGTCAATACCCAGATGCAGACGATGCTTACACTCAATGAAAACGACAGCAATTCAGCACCGGTGAACCTTCCACAGACTCCAAATGATATTTTATTACCATCTGAACATGGCCGAATTATATACTGACACATGGGTAACAGAAGAAAGGCCAGTGCTACTGTTGCTACGACTGGAATACAAAGAAAAATATTTGATGTCTTGCAATTCAGATGTTAGAAAATATTTGTTGAGAAAGAAGAAAAATATGGCAAACGAGGATAGACTCACTGGCTGTGCATATAGCGAAGAGCATTTGCATACTGTCAAAGAAGAAGAACATGACAAGTAAAGAAATGGAAGCACCAAGTGGTAGACAGAGAGCGTGCATCGTGTCGAGGGTGTGCACCCCTCCTCCAATAACTCCATCCACGATGCCTGCAGTACTGCCACTTGTCAATCCTGTTAGCAAATTGTTACGCTCCTTTTCCTTCTCACGTTCTCTAGCCTCCTGCTCCATATTCAAAGAGCGAAAACTTCCATAGACGATAAGTAGGATCGATATTAGGAAGGTGGAAACCCTGGATGAATCCATTATGGAATATGCCCTGTGATAGACAAAATGTAATTTATCAATAACAGTTATGATGGATTCTATTATTAAATGAATTTTGGCTGACCACTGATAATCCACTTGGTTGGTGGCCATATTGTAGCCTGGCATTTTAGACGTCCTCTCTTACAGTGCTGGCCATTTGTACCTTTGTATGCCTGAGATCATCTGCAGCCACGGCTAAAAATTCATATTACACATTGCTCATGGTTAAATATTATGATACATTGCCACCAATTAAGCTTTAAATAGAAGAATAAATATACCTATTGAGCAGAAAATTCAGCATAACACCGAATAGAATTATTCATAGGTCTTTGTAATCCTTGGTCACCACCTGATCAACAATAAAGACCTCCGTTAATTTATAAACCATTATCAAAAGTTTCCAGCACAATGAAATCTCAGGTTACAAAGGCATTGAACTAGAGAGAGCCATTGACACCTGTTATGCTTCAATCATCCTCTGGTATACCTAGACAAAAAAATCAACATAGTTAACACCATGCAAGATGACAAACCAAATGAAAGCAAATGCAACATTTCAAGGGTTCCTCTCTACACTCAACAATATAAAAATTACAATGCAGGAACAAATGCTTTATGCCAACATTACTTTAGGAGAAACTTTTAGTGCATTCGAGCATGACGCCAGAACGATCTGAGTTCATACAGTAACATGGTAGCATTTTCTAAAGACCGTTCTACGATATACAAAATAATACCAGAAGTACGACGTCCCCACGGAACAGCCCCAAAAACTAAAAAGTTCTGATGAGAGTTCATAAAAGAGCTAAGAGATTCACCATTTTGGTAAACAGAAGGGTCACGTGACTGGGTATCTGGCCCCAAGAGGCTGCTACTCCCGTAGCCCAGATTAAGGTTCAGGCGTTCTTTACGGATAATCCTGGCTCACCTGACCGGTCCAAAACCTGAGTCCTCCGCGGGATCTCTCATCACCTCTCGTGTAAAAAACCCTTTATTTACCGCGCTATTAACACCAGAAAACCCGTGAGAAATTACTGAGAATATCTTTCAGCATGCGATCCGCCAACTACTACTCGTTGACAGGCGCAGAACTGCCGCAACTCTGCCCGGATCGTATATCTACAGGGTGTCTCAAAAAATGTCAAGCATAACTTGGTTGTATTCGTGTAACTTGCATTCTACATGTAACGAGACTGGATATAACATTTAGGCAGATTGTATTTTCAAAGAAAGAATTCTATTTGATATTATCCAAAACTAATAAGAATTGAGTATAATTATCTTGTATTATCGGGAACTTGATTTTACTTTAGATACATATGCATTTCTCGACAAATCTTCTAATATTAATAAATGTCTTTGAAAAGACTTTTAAGTTACAATCTGAATTTAGCATGTGATGCATTTATTTTGATATATTAAATTTATTTTTCTTTCTATTAACTAGGCAGACCCATGGTGCACATGGTGTTGTGCTCGAAGAGAAATAAAGAATGATTAAAAAGAATTCACTATGAACCAATTATCTTTTGAGGAGTCAAGATATTTACTAGAATTATTAAATGCTTCGTTATTATTCGCGATATTCACGAAAAGGGAAAGTTGGTAAAAGGATAATTCTGCGTTTCTTTTCTCCAGAATTTCTCTATCATTTGATAAGCCCTGGTTAATCTTCATATAGATTGCATACATACAGGATTTTTTAGTATCAAATACTTTACGCCATCCTACAGAATTCTCAATAACTTCTACATGAAAAATATTACTAGAACTTTTATTACCTTACGGTAGGGTATCTTCCTCCGTGGAACGGCCGTGTTAAAGAAGACGGATTCGGAAAATCAGTTCCCGCATTGGTTAGATTCTTTCATCACGAAACAATTATCCGGGTTTAGATCAATGGGAGATCTGATTTTCCGAGTTATTCGTCTTGCACGACTAGCCAGTTCGACGTGGAAACGTACCTTAAATGATACATTTACTATGGTGATTATTATTAACAAAATGTCCCTAGTTGTGCGGGTGACCCTGGCTCCCCTTGTCACCCGCGAAACAGTTTCTTCATACGGGTTAAATAAATAGTAGTTTGATTGGCAGGTCCTTGTGATAATGAGACGTGTGCGGTTTTATATGATATAATTTGGTTTAATGCACGTAGGAATGCATCATAGCGGCTTTTCAATGAGAGGAAAAGGCCCGCTTTTATTCTTATAACCTCAACAAAAGTATGACACACCATGTGATATGATACTCGCTTTTGTATCCTTTATAATCTTATCGGATTTATTCAACATCTTGAAACAATTTTATAGTAGTGACGAGTGAAACGCTTTATCGTGTGATTGGTATGGAATTATTAATATTATAGTCACGTAATTATTTGTAAAGACTAAAATCAGCATCTCATTCATTGCTCAATCTGGCATTCTAATTGTTTCTATGAACGAATGATTTGCGGTGATTAAGATTTAACAGTTTGATCGCCTACTTCCTGTTCCGTTTCTGAATAATGACGTAGATAAAGCGAAGTATTTTTTTTTTTAATATAAAAGCTCCAAGTTTTTAACATATATTGTTAATCTAATGCACTTAATTAAATCTTAGGACTTAATGACCGAATATCAGCTGATGTGGAATATTTGTAGATTATTATAACAGTAAAAGTATCTAATACGAGATAAATGACACCTGCTTTAACATCGTGTTAAATACGTTTCATGTTAATGGGTAATTATTTCGTTTCTTTAATTACATGTCGTTGATCGCTATTTCACTATTTGTCAAATAATATTAGATTGGTAAGCATCATTTTTACACCACAGAATGATTTAAAGAACGAAAGTTTGCATTAACAGACTAAAGTAGAACGTTTGGATTCTTATTATATGTATATGCACACAATGCAGTGTGCCGATTTTACCGCGTATTCGAGGTCAGCTGTTTCTCGCCAGTTGAGCATTTCGGTCGATTCAAAATTTCCCCAACCACCTTGAACAATATTGAAATTTTACATCGAATTGATTATCGTTATTGATCAGATTAAACAAAGAATTTATGATAGAATTGATTTGACTTGAATCATGCGTCATATCGTTGTCATACTTATTTGTGTTTGATTGGATTGTAGGAAAATGCATTATTTTCTGTTTTAATGCTTTTAATATTTAATGAACGTATTTTTATTCAAATTTCTTAACTGGTCTATTATACAGATTTTTTATATTTTTTGACTATGTTAGGTAGTGATATTTTATAATAAAGATGTCGTTTGAATTAACTACACAAATTTCTAATGATGGAACTATTGGAGATGAGGAAGAAAATGTTGCATCTCCCGATTCTGAATATGATGATTTTCTGGGAGTTCCTGATTCCTTAGAACTGTCTATAAATGAGGATGGAGAGCCTAATAGGTTGAAGGGTAAAGATGAAGAAGGAGTCGATAACAAGGGTATAATTTAATTTAATTTTTACTATGGCAGATTAAAAAAATTATATAAGATACAGCTTGGTTTTCCTTTGTGTCTAGATTGTGTTGGAGTTATACCCTTTACAGCAATACATGCACCACCTGTAAAATTTAAGAGCCAGAACCGCAATATCTTTATTCCAAGAGAGGAAATATTTGTTAAAATTGTGGATAATGAACGAAGTGTGACAACACATCCACTTAATCCAAATTTATATACGATAGAATTTACTCATGGACCATTTACATGGACAATTAAAAAACGATACAAACACATCCAATACCTGCATAATCAACTTAAAATATATCGTGCAAGTTTGAATATACCATTTCCATCTAAGAGTCACCGAGAGAGAAGAAACAGTTTAAAGAACTTGGGAAGCACTAGAAAAAAAGGCAGAAGGATTAGAGGTGCCCTACCAAGGTATGATATTAGTATCAGGACACTGAATGCAGCATGAAATTTATAAAACATAATCCTTAGGTTTCCAAATAAGCCAGATGGTCTGGTACCTTATGAACATCTAGGTCAGAGGATGAGCGCATTGGAAAAATACCTGGATAATTTGCTTAAAATAGAAATCTATAAGCGTCATCCAGAAACCGTAAATGTCTTAAGATTTCAAAGACATTAGCCTATCTAAAATTTCTCAGAATATCTAACAACTTAAAACTCCTTATAGATTAGTTTCATGGAATTGTCGCACTTGTCCTTCATTGCCGACCTGGGAATGAAAGGTAAGGAAGGTATAGTTGGGAAGCGAACTGGTTCCGCCGGAAAAGCTAGCTGTAACTTCTGTGGGCTCCTGGAAGGTATGTTGTGCGTACGATGCAACTATTTTTGCACGTCACTTTGTGGTACATGGCACTCTCGTCATCTCATCGTGAAGGATACCTTCGTTGCATACATCAGACCTAAGGATGGCAGAGTCAAGTCTGTCATTCTCATGGATAATAGATTTGAGGTCAGCTCAGGAATGTACTCTACGGGTGTGAGAAATGGTTTACAAATAATGAATCATAGCAGACAGATCGTAATCAAATGCTGGACTAGGAGGAAGGCCAAAGAATGGATGGAGTTTATACAGAACGTGGCCAGGAATGAAGGTGGTTACCTCTTACTTGAAGAATATAATATTTATTATTCTCATAATATATCTAAAATTATTTTCAGGAAGTCCATTTATTCTCGCGAATCCACACAAATCATTCGCTCCTTATCGTTCACCGATATCAGCATCCTGGTTTGTGGACGGCGCTGGATACATGTCTGCCGTAGCGGACGTTCTAGAAAACGCCAAAGAGGAAATTTTCATAGCAGATTGGTGGCTTTCGCCGGAAATATACATGAAGAGACCAATGCTGAACGGACATTACTGGAGGCTAGATAATATACTACAGAGAAAAGCAGTAAGTATCCCAAAAGCATTCACTAAATTAAATTATTTATCAGGATTTTAAATGATATCTCATTGTCCATCTCTGAATGCTTTTATAAGGAATGAACGCATAGGTGAGATTATAATAACTAATCGGGAAGTGATTGTCCTGTAATAAAAAATATATATTTTTCATTCTCCTTTAGTTAGAAGGCGTCAAAGTATTCGTACTTATATACAAAGAAGTGGAGCTCGCTATGGGTATAAATAGCTTCTACAGCAAGCAGAAACTTGTTGAAAAGTGTCCAGAGAATATAAAGGTTTTAAGGCATCCGGATCATGCAAGAGTTGGCATATTCCTTTGGGCCCATCATGAAAAGATCGTAGTGGTAGACCAGTCAATTGCATTTCTAGGAGGTATAGATTTGTGTTATGGTCGATGGGATAACAACGAGCATAGATTAACCGATCTAGGTAGTTATAATCTTATTTAACAGAATAATACAACATAAGATATTACAGAATTGAATTTTAAATTTCTTTGCTGTCTAACAGATTCAGTTCATCAGTCCAGTATTTATATTCCATCGAAGGGTAAACTCACTAGCACAAGCAGTAGACGTACTACAACCCCCAGTATTCAGAAACATGCATTATTGCCATTGGCCATTGCGACAAACACTGTTGCAATGGCAACAGCCAAATTCATATCAGTATTGTAAGTTTCTTAAAGGTTAACTAAGATTTAGTCTATGAACAATTCTTCATTTTTATATTTGCCTTCTTTCTAGACCCTTGTTAAATAAAGAACCTCCAACACCTAAACCTTTGCCAATATTAAAATCTGGTGATCCATTAATGATATCACCGCCACAAGGAATGGACAGTTTCAAGTGTAACACTCCAGACTCACAAAGAAAAAATTTATTTGGTATGGCCAAAACTACTGTAGATAAAGTTCGATATAATGTAAGAATGAAGAGGAGGGAATGGATAAACATGGTGTACAGTCCACACGAGGGAGAAAGTAGCGACGAAGAGATAGAGGATGTGGTTGATACGTGAGTTATAGAGTCATAAGTGACGTAACGAATCACGAATATATATTGATATATGATTTTATCAAATAGTGCCACTGTAGACACTCCATTGGGCGATGGAGAAGGTATAACGTGTAACAGCGCAGATATAATTTCCGATCTATCAGGAACTGGCAAGCTCTGGCTTGGCAAAGACTATACAAATTTTATTGTCAAGGACTTTGCTAATCTTGAAAGACCTTATCAAGACCTGGTGGATAGGAGTACTACACCCAGGATGCCCTGGCACGATATGGGAGTCATGGTCCAGGGTGCTACTGCCAGGGACGTTGCTAGACACTTTATAGAAAGATGGAACGCAATAAAGGTACTTTTCGTGATACGATCATCCGATAAAATTAGAATTACTCTGAATCTTTTTTTAAATTAGCTAGAGAAAGCAAAGTTAAATGCAACCTATCCATTCCTGCTGCCTAAGTCCTACAAGAATTGTAGCAGTAGCGCTCAATTTGTAGATACAACGTACAACGTAAAATGTCAAGTTTTGCGCTCGGTAAGTTCCTGGTCCATTGGGTTTCTGGAATCAGATACTAAGGAACAGAGTATACATGAAGCTTACATCCAAGCTATTAGCAGTGCTGAGAGGTAAGATAATTAAGTGACGAATGAAAGAAAATATGAAGAACCTTTGAAACATTGTTGTACAGATTTATCTATATCGAAAACCAATTCTTCATAACCTTGGCAACAGTAGAGGGTGGTACTGTGAGAAATCGTATAGGGGAGACACTATTGAAAAGAATATTGCGAGCTCACAGAGAAGGTTCTGTATTTCGTGTTTTCGTCGTGATGCCTCTCCTTCCGGGATTCGAGGGTGAAGTTGGTGGCTCCACGGGAACTGCTTTACACGCGATAACGCATTATAATTACGCATCAATATCAAGGTAATTTGGAGATGAAATACTTAAATATTAATAATAATTCCAATAGTTTAAAACATTGTATTTGCATTGTTCAGGGGCAAGGATTCTATATTCTACCAATTAATCGATGCTGGAATAGAAGATCCCAGCGAGTACATAACGTTTCATGGCTTAAGAACGCATTCAAGACTCAATGGAACGATGGTCACTGAATTAATCTACGTGCACAGTAAGCTGATGATCGTTGACGATAGTACAGTGATCTGTGGATCGGCTAATATCAATGATCGTAGCATGATTGCTACCAGGGACAGTGAGATCGCAGTAATAATTCATGTGAGTCAGATGTTTCAATTGTGATATAATTTAATGTATTCACTGGTACAGTTAGTCTGTCCTTGCAGGATCAGGAATTCGACGAGTGTACATTGAACGGTATTCCTTTTCAATCTGGCAAGTTTGCTGGTTCCTTGAGAAAACAATTATTTCGGGAACATTTAGGGCTATTGCAGTCAAATGAGAGGATCAATGTTGATGATCCTATAACTAAGTCATTCTATAGAGATATATGGTGCGAGAGAAGTAAGCGGAATACTGAGATATTTGAAGAAGTCTTTCATTGCATACCATCAGACAAAGTTGTGAACTTTGCTATGCTTAGACTCTATCAGGAAGAAACGCCGTTGTGCCAATCGGATCCCATATTGGCGCACCAGATGGTCAGGAACATCAAGGTATCACAATAAATTTGAATTTTTTATCCTTGCTGTCGTTGAAGAAGAAATGAGGTCTGTAAATCGTGATAATACAGCTGAGGCTTTTATTTTTTCATTTTCTTTTTTTCAGGGTCACTTAGTTGACATGCCTTTAAACTTTTTGTGCAATGAAACACTCAAGCCGACTGCTGGTACGGTCGAGGGAATGATGCCTACATCATTGTGGACTTAATAACACGGATATATATAAGTATTATTCGATAATTAATTTTGTATAATATTAATCCGATTGGATGCTGAAAATCACGTAGGAAATGTTAGCATCAACTTCCGTGAATAATTGTGCGTTTTTCATCTACATGAAACTTTAAAATGTTGCTTCAGGATTGTCAGTACTCTTAGTGGACAATATCACTTTTTCGATATTGGATAAAATAATTATTAATCGACGATCATGTGCCCGAGTAACTATTGTAATTATAGCTTTAGGTGTCTGCTTAATTTTAAGTAGAAATTTTCTCGATCATCATTTTTCGGCGTGAGACTTGGAGTCCCCTAAAATTCAAAGGTGATCAATGCTTTATTGGATTATGTTAAAAAAAGCATTTATATTTTTTCCAATGAACGACTTAAGACCATAATACCTTCTATTTGGGATCAACACAAAGTATAATTTAAAATTACATTTCCAAATTACATTCAATAAGCGATTGGTATTATTCTACTTAATTGTTTCAAAAATTTATGACTAGAACATAACGCTTACTTGTCAATATTACTATTAACATTTCCCACTATTTATATTCTTCATGTGTACACAATAGCTTAGATTTTTATACGATCATTATATCTCTAAAACAAAGTACAACAAAAACGTCCCGATAAATATTAATTTCTCTATAATAAGTTAAGAGCAATAATGTTGTTATATACATATAAGAAAAACAATTCAATACCAGTTAAATTTAATTAAAAGCCCATAACAAATAGTGATGTAAATGTATCCTTGAAAAAAATTGTAAATCAATTGTATTTATAAATTTAAATCATGCCGGTAGCACTCTCCTCTTATTACCCACAGTGCCCTGGAACTAATAGGAACTTAGCAATTAAAGTTCACAGTAAAACTGTCACGGAAAGATATGCAAGTATAACAAGAATATATAACATTGTCAAGTCCTATTTGCATCGCTCGAAAGAGGAAGATATAAAAACCGTACTGCATAATTAAAAACAATTACGTAGAGACCTTTAAACGACCTAAAATGGCGTAATCAGAGGGTGAACGTATTCGCGGTAAGCCTCATTCCTCCGTGACGTATACATCGACACGTCTGACGTCACGCGTGAACCGAAAAGGAGTGGGAGATAAAAGTAGGGGAAATCGAAAATATACGTTGGTGGGGTTATTGAGAAGGTGGGGCGGGTGCATAACGATGAGAGTAGTGGGGATACAAAGTAGAAGAAGGAAGATAGGAGTGGGAGAAGTGCCGGGCAAGCCAGCAGTGGCGCGGCCCGTGCTCCGGAGCAAGAGGCCAGTGCCAGTAGTGTGTTCGTTTACAAGATGGCAGACGGGCCGTCCGCAGAAGACGCGGCCACCGAGCTAGGGGACATTTATCGGGTGCCGAGGGAGCGATACAAATACGAATCGTTGGCGATGGGTCAGGACGGTGACGGAGCGGCCTCGGCTGCTTTGGTGAGGTTCATGAGCGCGAGTGACAGTGACGAGACGCGTCTTAGCCTTAGGAGTAGTGATGACTTGTACGGCGATGTTAGCCTCGCGAGTGTGATTGGTGATGATGACGACGGTGCGTCGAGTCGAGCTGGAACGGATAGTACGAGTATGCCTAGCGACTCTCCGGAGTGTCTCGATGAGGATCACGAGAATTCGCATGAGCACGACCTGGTCTCCGTCGCGACGGTTAATGAATCTCGTCGTCGGGGTGAACGCGTTCAAGCAGACGCCAATGCTGCGCCCAAGATCATCGCCAACGTTGCTGCCGTAGCCGCCGCGAGCGTAGTCGGCATTTCCAGGCTCAGCAATCCCTTCAAGGGACAGATCAGGAGCGCCGAGGACACCCTCGTTGGACCCTGCGGCAAGAAGCGGTGCGCCGATCGATACGACAGCTCCGAGAGCTCCGACAGGTGAGAGATTTTACGGATGCCAAGATCGATCGCCATAGAAATACTCCCATTTCTTTACGTGAGCTTCTACTGACTGGACTATATCCCATGGCATCCAGTTGATGATCTAGGGTTACGCCGCCTCGAAGGGATAGGACGGTTGTTCTACTGTACCTCTTGGTACACAGGCGTACAACCTCGAGGGTCGTTGTACTCTGACTAGTTCATACGAGAAACATGGATACCGAGATATCAGTATACCGTTTCTTTTTAGTTTTCTTCTTTTCTATACTTAGCTATACTCCGTTCTTGACACTCCGATACCCTCTGGCGATACCTTCATATAGGTATTTTCTATTCCCTTTACCTACCGAGAACCCACGGAAAATATTCTGAACGTAGTACCAACCTTTGAGGATACACCCTGTAAGAGGCCTTTTTTTTGTTTTTCTTTTTATTGTATTACAGTGCGCATCTCGCATTGGCACTGCGTAGTACTGCATACTTTTCATGATAAATATTAGAGTAATGACAGGTAATTTTTGTTTATTTTGCAATATTTCATGTGTTTACCTCTCCAGACACCTAGGGACCTTGTTCGTCCTGGTCTACGGGACTTGCGCGAAAAATAGCGATCTACATATTTCTGCATTTATAATCAACATTACAGTGCAAAGTTTGTAGAAGTTATTTAACATTAAAATGTAGAAAGGATTTAATTTTTTTTTTTGGTTTATACTCAAGTATCCGCGTCTTTAGTATTTACAATATTTTTTTTCTAGCGTAATCGCCTAAAAAATATCATTAAACAACAATGGGACTTTTACAAAGAATAGTCCTTTGCAAACAATAGAAAATCTTGCCTCGTCGTACATTTTTAATGACAATTTTCAATGATTAATTAATGACAACTTTGAAACTTTAAGTAGCTCGATAGCGCTGATATATCCTGATAAGAAAGCGCATTGACTGATACGAATACAAAAGGGGAATGAAAATTAAATCTGCCTCCGACCAAGCGTCTCCATTATTGTTTGTAAACACATGTGTAAACGTACACGAGGAACGAGGAGAGTTTCGCACGCGCGACGTTAGCGGCGAGCCAATCGTCACTCGTTTGCACTGCATTCCGCAATGTTATTCCTGCTCGTCCAAACACGCCGAACCTTGGATACCATTTTAAAATAAGGCCTCTTTAAGATGCGAGTAGTTCTTTGGGTGAATTTTCAAGCGTGCGATAATATTTACAGGGCTACCTGTCAACTGTGAAAGGCCCTAGACATTTTCACAGCCAGTAACGTCTCCGGATGCAGACTGGAAAATGGTAAATACATGGTTAACGGCTTGTCCCATTGGTCGTGTCAGTGTAAACAAGATACAAAGGACCGAATTAATTTTAAGAGACATTTCGCTTCGTGAACTACGAGTGTTAAAGAGATGGTCAAATTCTTTGATTTTCCTTTTCTATTTTTTTGTCGTTTTCATACAAGCGTCGTAATGTTTTTAGAAATAGACGTTGAGATTGAGGTTAGTTACTTCGCAAGCAGTAATTACGATGGACGTTAATTTATTTAGGCTATTCATAAATGGCACGTTCTTACCTCGATAAATCGATATCGACGTCGACCCGCAGTTTATATCAGTTCACAGAGAAAATTCACGACATCCACGTGACCAATTATGCTCCACCAATATTCATAGCTATTTACGGTACTGACCTTATCTACCATCGAGAGATGTTTATTCACCGATATTGTCCCGGGCAGACAATAACGCTTCGTCCGGACGCTCGCTTTGGCTTTTGTTTAACAAACGTAAACGCGTCATTGAAAATTCGCCTCGTGACTCACGCCGCGCTACAATCAGCCAAACCGAGTCGTCTTTCTTCAATGCTGAATTATAGACGGTCGATCGACGACATCCAGAGCGGGACAAAGGACAAAGAGAATCGACCGTTACAGCAGTAGATTTAAAATTTGGCGGGCTTTATTTTTTAAATTTAATTACAACCATTCCTACACGCTACGTCGAAGTGTCTACGTGCACGGAATGAGCGTTATTCTATATTTTTCGTCCGGACTGTACACCCGCTAGACACGCGAAGGGCTGTTCCGCTTTGCCTGACGCGACTGTACACGCCCTAGGGCCCTTTCCGTAATATTTTCATGCACGCGCGAGAGGCAAGATGGCTCCCGCTGCGCTTCGTTCGAGCCTATGCTCCTTCATACTATTTTTACTTTGTGTAGTATTAGCCAGCCCAGTTCTTGTGGGCATACGCCACTCTGCGCTCAGCGGCTTATCACCGTTTTCGTATGTTGCCGAGATAATGACCTGCATTCAAGGAAGGGCACTCATTAATCTTTACCGCCGGCTACGTCATAAATGCGTCACGGATTTTTCGTTGATACGAACTATTGCAACCCTTGTTGCGAAATATTTTATTTCAGGCCTCTGGATACTCTTTGCCAGTGTATAAATATTTACGATTCTCGCTTCTCTCACTTCCTTCTTTTTCTTGACTCCTATGCTTTTCGGGCCGGCAAAACGAAAAAGAAATTGTTGTTCGATAGTCTCTACGGCGTGGCGAACGTGTATACATTGTCTTATCAGCTTGTCGTATCTTTATAAATTTTACTGACGTACCAAAAGCGTAGGATGGACACGTGGGAACGAAAGGGGCGGAATCGCTGACGTATTGGATCCCAATGCGAATAACCGTGACGGATCTAAGGACAGCGGCAGTAGGGGAAAACGATGAAATGGCCATAGAAAAAGGCGAATCCTTAACGAGCGAAAAAGCAAAGCACGAGCGAGTATCGAGCGTGACCGGAGCCTCGTGTTCGTTCCGAACTCTGATTGGCCAGATCGTAACCGGATAATGCCCCTCGATTACAAAGACCAATAAAACTCTTGCGATCATTCGACGACCGATATAAAGGAGAGACGTTTAAAGCAGTGCTTACACGTCATACTTATGTACAGGCCGACGAGACGACTGTTCGAGAATCACGTGAAAGTCGCGTTCACGATTAATAACGGGATTTGGCGAATTGTCAAGGTCATGGTCAAGCGACAATGACCGTCGTCACAGTCGCGCGCCTCGAGAATTCGCCTGCACGACTTCACGACCTTTCACCCGGGTTCTTTTTTTTTTCTTTCTTTCTTTCGTATTACTTCATTACTTCGAACTAAGGGGGACTCCCAAAAAAATGTTACTACCATTCATAATGGCTTCCGACATCGTTTAGCCGGAGTGAATAAAATTTTTTTTTCGCGCCAAATTTAAATAAATTCTTTTCATCCTCAAGCCAAACTGTAGTTCAGTGTCTATGAAGGTGAAATATTTGGGAACGATATACCATAAAGCCTGCTCGCTGTAATATTTATTGCTTAGATCATTTTGCAATCAAAGATTCTGTATCGATCAGCTGATCGAAACAGGTGTGCTGAGGCACCGGTCGCGCTTGGATCCGTATTTGGTGAAAGCTTGAAGCCGCTCTACAAGTTTCAGGATAACACGTGCCACTGTATACCTATATATGGTGTATATATATATATATATATATATATATATATATATACTTGATGTACTGATATGTGTACAGGTCTTATGGAAGGAGCGATGGCGAATGACAAAAGAAGCGCGAAGAGACACCGCGTAGATATGCGGAGCTCTTACTAAAGCTTCGCGCTCTCCACGTATCTATAGTGCCTTCGCATTAACTGCTGGTGTATGTATACAGAGCGTCATACAGTATACGTATACACGTATAGTCGATAAAAACCTGCGAAGTCAATTCCCTTATGCCTCAATTAATAGGCTCCATTTAGATAAGGTTCGTACGTCCGTGCACACGTACGGCCACAGGCCACCGCCTTAATGATCAATCCTTTCGTATCCTTGATCTTTCCCTTATTAGCTGTCACGTAAGCTAATGGACTTTCATTAAGCTGTCACTGACCTACGCCAATTTACATGCATTACACACTTTGCCAATACTTGGGTCATTCTCGTAATGAGTTGCTCCGATGTTACGCGAGTTGTAAAACAAATACATTGTTTCATTGAAAATTCCATGACACAGTCTAGACACGATCGTCGTACACGAAAAAAAGAAGAAGGAAAAAAAAAGAAAACTTGTAATTCTACGCTCTAGTCCGTAGAATTGACGCAGTTCGTGCCCATAAAGAGAAATGAAGGTTTTTACACTGAAAAAAAAAAAAAAAAAAAAAAAAAAAATGAAAAAAAAAAAAAAAAAAATAGAACCGCGACAATCGCTCGCAATCGTTACTCGCGAGTAAGGACAAAATACGGCCCGTTGTAAATTTTCATTTTGAACGGTCCAGCCGCCAGCTCAAACCAGTCTGGTAAGAAGCTGCGTTTAAAATATCCTAGAATTTTTTCGAACGATCGGTATATACGTCTCTCTCTTACCCGCGTAACCGCCCATAACTACGTCTCTCTCGCACTCGTGGCGGGTATAGGAATTTCGAAAAATTCGTATGATTCACGGGGGACTCCTCTTGTGCGATCTTTGTTTATTGCATTGGCTGTCTGCCAGCGGTATCCATAAAACTTTTGACTTATCTTTCTCAATACGCTGCCTAACCAATGTCATTAGGTGACACCTGTTAAAACCAACTAATGCCTCCCATACGAATGGCCATATCAATCTGCCGCCAACATCGTCGCTCTGTCGCACGTGGATATACACGCAATCTGTATTACGTATATACATGTATTTATTGGCAGGAACATTCACGACTGTAAAATACGGAACGTGCGTTGGCCCTGGCCGTGAAAGTGAAATTCGTGAATGGGAGGCCAAGAACCGAAAGGTAAAGTAAAGGCATATGGGTTGTCGGTTTTGCCTTTTACCCATCGGGCTCGGCCAATCGGATTCGGCCGGTGGTTTGCCCGTGTGTAAGCGGCGATCTTTGCCGATCTCGCCTTGTCCCTTGTCGATCCGTGACCCGGCCAACTTGGCCGTGGCCGTGAAAGTGAAATTCGTGAAGGGGAA